AAGTTTTGAATTCTTTATCACATTTTCCCTTGCATACTTGTTACAGAAGGAAGAACAGACATGTCGTGTTGTTATTGCTGATGTTTTAAAGCTAACCCGCTAGGCTGTGGATAAAAACACTAGAAGCGGCAAACGTTCATTATATGCATAGTTCATTATCTATGGGCCAGTATGTTCGTAGCCCTGCCTTTGTCAAGTGGTGATGGAAGGAAAGGTAAAGGAAGGAGTGAAAGAATCTGAGTAGAGCAATGTAATGTTGTTTGTATTTTAGAAAAGTATCTTTATTAAACACACAAAATATATATCAATTTTATAACATATAACCCCCCCTTTTGGAAGGATACAATCAATACAAGCAAACTACATAAAAACTGCCACTATATGTACTAAAAGACAGGAGAGAGAGAGAGAGAGAAACATATTATGCCTTCCAACCCCGCCGATGATGGCAATATCTGGGTCTTCTTGGAGAGAGAGGGCGGAATATGTATAAAGTTTTATTATTTTATCATTTTTATGCCTTGCCGAACTTCCTCTAAAACATATATTATTATCAATTTATTTATTTTTCATACTTAAATAACATAAACTTGCCTCTATTTATAGTATTGTCTACAAATCTTCAAACATAATTACTTATTACTCTCCCTGCTGATGTCTCAGGGCTTGTCTGCACTGACCAGGAGTTGCTCCTGGATGACAACATGGTCCTCCAGGAGCAAATCCAGTGTGATGTGTCATCAATCCAGTGTGCCTTCCAGTGTGATGATTGCAGAACCTTGTTAGCGATTAGAGTCACTCACAAGGAAACCTTGGAAATGTATTTAATGCTAGGTCACTACTATACAGCAAAGTTACAAATGAGGAAAATGTGGGCTAGCTCTCAGTTCAATGACTGTGTGGAAGGACACTAAGTCCACTGCTTTGGGGGCAATGAAGGATCTGTCTGTGAGCATTGTCTGATGGCAATGTTTTTGCACAATTGAGAGAAGTGGGCTCCTCTGCCTCTAAATGTAAAATTTTCTTTACAGTCTTTCTCTCAAGCATCATCCTTGATTTTTAAATCAGAAGCTGTTTTCCCCCTTACATTCATCAAATGAAGGAATATAATAAAGATAATAATATACACAGTATATAAAACAAAAGTGTTAGGCAATAGGTATTGTGTTTTGCAAGCAGAGTATGTACACTATACAAAAATGTTTGGCTTGCTTTAGGAAGTGAGTCTAATTATGGTGTTTCCATAGCCAATCTCTTCTGGTTTGAGGTACAGTGGCCACGCTGGCTGTGGATTCCGGGATATATAATCCAAAAGTAATTTTTTTACATCTCAGTCACCTGTTGTACTATGATCATACATGACAGTTTCCTTATGCAACTGGTCCGTGTTATTGCATTGTCTGGCATGCAACCAAACACCCTGAAAGGGTTTGAGAACAAACAGGACGGCACACAGTCTTTTAAGGAGTTAAGTAACTGCTTAACTTTCCATAGTGCCTAAATATAAAGATAAACCTTTCAGGCTTTCCGGATCCAGAGGGTTTGGGAAAGAGAAATGAATACTGCTTTGTCAGATATTTTAAAATATAGTGCAACATTATTCCTTCTTTGAGAATGAGAGGGAAATTAGCATACCAACAGCATAATGATAAATATGTTTTTACTTGGAAGTAGGACACACTACATTAACTGGAGCTTGCTCCCAGAGAAGCTTACTTTGTGTTGCAGCCAAAGGTAAACACAGCATAAAATCTATTTAATTTGATTTGTGTTTCATCTTCCTGCACATAATGATGATAATTATATTCATGATGACAGCCAGGACACTTGAATAAAATTCAAATAAAACTAATACAATTAAGACATAAACACAGATTAAAAGCCCAATTAAAAACACATAAAAGAAAGAGAGATGTCAGCTGGTTAAAACCTCCTCAATCAGTGCCTAACATAAGTGTCAAAGACCTGTCTGAATAAAGAGGTGTTTACCTCCCAGTGGAAGCTTCCCTTAGCAAAGAGTTCTGAACCTTTCTTATTACGGTTACCAGACTGAAAACTGGAAAGGGTTCCTGTACCCAATGCAACCAAGAAAAAGCAACACCTGATAAAATTTCCTCTTCCGGGTACAGGAGTCCTCTTAAACTTTCACTCTCGTAATCTTACCTGTCCCCATCAACTATGCCACTACTGGTGTAGAGAACAAAAGAGAGACTCCTCAGATGTTTTCTGATTCTCCAAGCTTTTCTGGGAAAATAGGATGCTGCCTGCAAAACAAAACAAAACAAAACCCCCACTATCCTGGGGACAAAATCATTCAGCTCTACAGACATTGCTGAACTGTAACTCCCATCATTCCCAATGCTGGTTATTCTGGGAATTGCAGTTCAACAGCATCTGTGGGGTTGGGGCACAAAATATTCTCAATCATTTAGTCTATTATAGACAATTATAGTCAGCAATGGCTCTCTGTGGCTTTCAATATGATTCTTTCCTAGCCCTACCTGAGGCCATTTAATATTACCGTATTTTTCAGCGTATAAGACGAGTGGACATATAAGACACCCCCAACTTTTCCAGTTCAAATATAGAGTTTGGTATATACTCGCCGTATAAGACTACTCCTCTTCCAACACACGCCAAATAAAAATTTAGAAAACATCAGATTTGATTTCAATATGGTAATTTTCCTATTACCATGCCTCCTTCTCAAACTCTGTACTACCCATCCTGTGGAGCTCAATGCAAGGATGGGTTGTGGCTTCTGTATCAGTGGGGTAGTGAATCTGCTTTAGGTTCTATTTTGGAAAAGTGTCTAGAATCGTGACTAGGTCTTTTAAAATTTTGATCAAACTCAGAACAGGTTCACTGCCACGTTAGTATGGAAGCCACCAGCTCAGTGGAGTTTGCTTCCAGATAAGTGGGCAAGTATTGCAATGAAGTGTAAAGATATATCACCAAATACAAAAGTCAAGATTGCCCATGCCACTGTATTCCCATTTTATGCATGTTTGTGAAAACTGGGGAGTGTAAAAAGCTGATAGGAAAGAAATCAACTCATTTCACCAGTGGTGCTGGAGAAGAGTTCTATGGATCAAACAGACTGCTCAAAAGAACAATAAGTCAGCCATAGCAGAGCACCTGATGAACCAACCTGGACACAGCATATTATTTGAGAACACAAAAATGCTGGAGCACTCTAACTACACTAGACTACACAAAGAAGCCATTGAAATCCACAAGAGAAGCAGGAGGAAACCATGAAAATGAACAAAATCTGGCTACCAGTATTTAAAAGCTCTAAAATCAGGTCAGTAAATAAAGAGTAACATTAAAAAAAACAGAGGGATTCCTGACATGAAACAATCAGGGGCAGCTAACACCTCCCCTCCCAACAAAGGATTCCCCCAGGCACAGGCCCGTAGCCAGGATTTTGATTCGGGAGGGGCTGAGTTTGATTGGGGGGGGGCTGAGTCTTAGTGAAAGAGGGTCTACCCTAGCAAAACTTTTATATCGTTACCCCAATACCCCCATGCATATGGAATATATTGAGATTAGTGATCAGATCATGATATGAATAAACATAACAGTTTTAATGATGTACCAGTAAGGCCTTCTTGCGGACCACCATGAGAATTTGGGGGGGGGGGTGAAGCCCCTCAAGCCCCCCCCCCCCGGCTACACGCCTGCCCAGGCAAGAAGCAGCCAGGCTTTGAAACTGCAAGGCTATTAAATGACAATCAAGGTGGCCAAGGGCAGCAATAACACTTGCCTCCAACAGACAAGAGTTCTTTCTCCCAGCCTGGACATTCCAGATATACAAACCCCACTTGCCTAGTTTCCAATATACCTCACAACCTCAGAGGATGCCTGCCATAGATGTGGGTGAAACGTCAGGCGAGAATGCTTCTGGAGCATGGCCATACAGCCTGGAAAACTCACAGCAACCCAAGATAAATGTACAAATCAGGCCTAAATTCTCCAAGATCATTAAACTGGGGTTTTCATACTTTTGGTCATATCGTGAGAAAGTGATATTTCTCTGGTATGAAAAAAACATTCCAATTATATTTTTGGTGTGAAGCCTGATATTGTAGATCATCATCACCATCATCTTTAATTACTTATTAATCGCCCTCCATCCGAGATGCTCCAGGTGATTTACATTGCAGAAATTATACAGGATAAAACACATACAAACAAATACTAAAATTAACATGGGTCAAATGCTCTAGTAAAAAGCCAGGTCTTAAGTGCTATAGATAACAATAACAAAAGTTGACCGCCCTGATGCTTGTTCCTTGGATTTCCCCTAAATTGGATTTCAGCAGGGAGTTATTTATTCTGACAAACATTGTGCTTTTTGCACCATTTACCAGCCAGCATTTTTAGTTTTGGTATCTAAAATTAGCTTGTGACAGGAAGCTTCTGCTATTGTTTTTCATGCTGGCTTGGTTGCCTAATCAAATTGGAATACATTTGAGAAAAAGCGAGGCAGATGCCTTGTAACAGCAAAGCAAACATGTTTCCCCCCCATGTATGTTGTTTATCACAACAGAGCCATCCTTCTGCTCTATCAGTGGTGCCAGAAAAGTCCTTCTTTGCACCCAAGTCATTGTTTTACCCTAGTTAACTCATTCTAGCTGCTTGGTAGAATGTGATGGCAAAGGAGTTATGGTACTATTTGGTGTAGAGCAGGCACAGGCCAACTTGGGCCTTGCAGGTGTTTTGGACTCCAACTCCCACCATTCCTAACAGCCTCAGGCCCTTTCCTTTTCCCCCTCAGCCGCTTAAGCGGCTGAGGGGGAAAAGGAAGGGGCCTGAGGCTGTTAGGAATGGTGGGAGTTGGAGTCCAAAACACCTGCAAGGCCCAAGTTGGCCCATACCTGGTGTGGAGATGCTTGCAGTCTGAACCTTCTCCACTAGGCAGACCTGAAGGCCCGTGGGCGTGGCTCAGGGAGGCATGTGGGCGTGGCTCAGGGAGGCATGTGGGCGTGGCCTAGGTCTCCAGCGCGCGCTGTTCCTGTTGCCAGGGAGCGCAAGATGGCGGCGGCGCGGAGAGTGGGGAAGGTAAGGAGGGCGGGCGCGGAGGTTTCGGGACCCGCCAGGTTCTGGCCAGTTGCCCTTTGTGGCAGGCGAAGGGGGCTGTTTAGGGAGAGGTAGTGCGCAGCGAAGGAAAGGAGGCAAGGGCTGGAGGGATTTGGGAAAAAGTTTTGACTGCCGTTTTATTGTGTGATAGACCCTTCCCTAGCTTTAACCTTTCAGGTGTTTTGGACTTCAACTCCCAGAAGCCTTTGCCAGCGTCGCAAACTGTCAGGAATTCTGGGAGCTGAAGTCCAAAGCACCAGAAGCACCCAATGTTAGGAAACCCTGTTACAGAATGGCTGAATGCTAGTGCCTCCTATATTTTGACACATCTTAAGGTGAAACCTCAGGCATGTCTCATTGAACCACCTCTACATCTCCTGTTGAGTGTCTGCCAGCAATGCAGAGGACGGCGACTAAAATGATCAAGGGTCTGGAGAACAAACCCTATGAGGAGTGGCTGAAAGAGCTGGGCAATGCAGAGGACGGCGACTAAAATGATAAAGGGTATGGAGAACAAACCCTATGAGGAGTGGCAGAAAGAGCTGGGCATGTTTAACCAGCAGAAGAGAAGGCTGAGAGGAGACATGATGAGGGCCGTGTATAAATATGTGAGAGGGAGGATGGAGCAGGCTTGTTTTCTGCTGCCCTGGAGACTAGGACGAACAATGGCTTCAAACGACAGGAAAGGAGATTCCACTTGAACATTAGGAAGAACTTCCTGTTAGAGCTGTTCAGCAGTGGAACTCTCTGCCCCGGAGTGTGGTGGAGGCTCCTTCTTTGGAGTCTTTTAAACAGAGGCTGGATGGCCATCTGTTGGGGGTGCTTTGAATGCAATTTTCCTCCTTCTTGGCAGGGGGTTGGACTGGATGGCCCACAAGGTCTCTTCCAACTCAATGATTCTCTGATTCAGAGTCTTAAAATACAGTGGGATGGTGGTGGCACTCTTATTAGAAAACGTGTGTACTGTATGTTGCTTTCGTTCCTTGTTCCTCACTAATAAATAAGAAAAACAACTGTGTTTAAAGAGACGTATCAATTAATGAAGGCAGTGAATTCCTGGACAGCTTCTTCAGTTGTTGCGACATCAATGTCCCTATTATATGTTATCAAAGGCTTTCATGGCCAGAATCACTGAGTTTTCTTTGAGTTTTCTGGGCTGTATGGCCAAGTTTTTTAAAACTCTAAGATCAGGACAGAAAACAGTCAAATTGCTGACAGGAAACAATCTTGGTTATCCAAGGGTTACAAGGCATGTAGCTCTCGTGAGGAATTTTCGCAGGTGAAGTTGGTATCACTGCCATGTAGCAGGAAGCCAACAAAAGCACGAGTAGTGCCAGTCATCAGTAGCTCATTGACTGGCATTGTGCTGAAGATTAGAGATGAGCGTCCTCATTCCATTTCCCTTCTGCTGTCTCCTTCATGACAGTGTGCATCCTCACACCACTCATGCAACACAAGAGTTGTTCATTTGGTTGGGATGTTTTAAGGCACCCCTCTCACAGTCCCAATCTTGCACCCAGTGGCTATCATCTGTTCACTAAATTGAAGGAGCACCGGCGACGGGGTAAAAATCAAAATAATGAACTGGCAGAAAAAGGCAGCGGGAGACTTCTATGACATAGGCATCAAAAAACTTGTACGGATGACAAAATGTATTGAACTGAATGGTGATTATGTGGAAAAATAATGTAATACCTATGCTATAATCCAGCATACTGTGCTAGACAGTGACTGAAATTGGTTTTGCTGTGCAGGTCTCATCATTAGACCTGAAGCCAACATGCATTTTGTCCTTTCAGGAGCTGGATGAGATCAGGAGGTCAAGATTCCGCTGCTTCCGGAATATTGAGGTGGATCCAGCCAATGTCCTCCTTTGGAAGTGGCTTCTGGTGCCGGTGAGTTTGGGCAAGCGGGGGAAATGGCAGGGCCTTGATGGGTTCAAAGGGGATCAAATATATCACATATCACGCCTATACTAAAGTCACTCCACTGGTTACTGATTAGTTTTCGGGCAAAGTATAAAGTGCTGGTCATAACCTTTAAGGTCCTACATGCTTTGGGTCCATGAGGTGAGTGGGGGGTCCTCGGAGGTGAGTGGGGGGAGTACTCCAGCCTGACTGGTGACGGTCACTGAGAGAACCTTTCCATCGGCTGCCCCATGACTGGAATGACTTGCTGGAAGAGATTGTACAGCTGAATGAGCTGTCAAAGTATAAGAGACAACTGAAGACCAATCTCTTCCTGCAGGCCTAGCCAATCAACTTTGTAGCATGAGTGTTGCATTTGCATCCTTTTGCCACTGTATATTGATCTTTGTACCCTGTGTTTTAATATACGTTTTTTGTTGTGTGTATTTTATGTTGATAAGTTTTGACTGTTGTACCTTGCCTTGAACTGTTAGGAGAGGCGGATAACAAAAATGTCATTATAATTGTTACTATTGTTACTATTGCTATTATTAATTGTTATTGTGTCAGCCAGGATAACTTAGCTATTCAGAGAGAGACTGCTCACTTGTTAAAAAAACAAACAATGTTTCCATGTATTTATTGCATTGTGGGGGGATTTTCAGTTTCCATTTGAGGAACTAAACTATCTGATTGAGGAATGAAAGGGATTCCAGGGGCCTGGACACTTTAATTTTGTATAGATGGGCTCTTAGGCAAGTCCTAGTCTTTTTGCGATTCATGTCCCCTTCCTATTTCCCCAGGATGACCCACCTTACAATCAAGGGGCATTCCAGGTTGAGATCAGCTTTCCAGGTGATTACCCTTTGCACCCCCCCAAGGTAACTTTCAAGACTAAGATCTACCATCCCAATGTGGACGAGACTGGCCGAGTGTGCTTGCCAATCATCAGTCCCAGGAACTGGAACCTTTCCACAAAAATAGAACAAGGTATGACAAGGAGAGACACCTGCCATGGTGTGTAGATAGAACCTTCTTGAGGTATCAACCTTATTTGGTTTGATTCTCTGCTTGAAAGTGCAAGCTCAGGCCCTTCTTACTTTCCTTCTTTTGATTCTTCTTACTTTCCCCTAGTGATTCAAGAACTTATAGCATTAGTGAATAACCCTGACCCGGACCATCCCTTGCGTGCTGAGTTGGCTGAGGAGTTCACCATGGACCATGAACGCTTCCTGGCCAAAGCAAAAGAACACACTCGCGAATTCAGCGAAAAGCGGCCGAGTGAGTGACCTTCTCAGCCCAACAAATGCCCACCAAAACTTCTCTGCCTATCTGTTGTGATAGCTAATTGAAGATCCACTCGTATAATTTCACAGTAGGTGAGTGGGATGAAGCAGATTGCTCCCAAGATTGCCTAGCAACAGCATAATGTACCTGATGGAAACCTGGGTTGCTTTTGTTCTTGACAAATTCTATATCTGAGGGGGGAGCGGGCCCTCTAAAGTTGTACTGTTGGGCAGGTACAATTTCCTGCTTCCGGGTAATGAAATGCCGGCATTCCATGTGACTTTCAAAACTAGAAACGATGTGGCGAGTCAGCAGGAAAGGTCTGTGCGTGAAACAGGGAAGTGAGGTTAAGCCATGAAGCAATGTTGCTAGTAATAAATGGAGTTTGATGTGACATGTGATTAGTCCTAAACAGAGGAACATAGGAAACTGCCTGGCATGTTCTTTTATAATGTCCTTTCTAGAATGATATTAGATCTGTTTTTATTATTCCCATTGTGCAGAAGATCCCTGGCAGAAGTGAAGAATATTATTTAAAACATCTTGTAGAGTATAGAACCCATCCATCACTTATAGAGTGGCTAAGTTTTGAGCAGCAGCTATAAAAATAAGCAAGCAGTCTGTGGGTGATTTTAGATTTTATTACCCATGGAGTTTCTGCTTTTAATGTTGTGAATTTTTGGTCTTAATGTTGACATTTTTTAAAAAGCTCTGGGTTTGTTTTTTTTAATGTTGTGAAGTTTTAAAATTTTACACTCTAGGTCTGTGCCTGTAACAATAAAATTCATTCAGTCACTGCCTCACACAGACTTTTAGCTTCTCTGGCCCTGTATTATCAACAGATTGGTTGAGTCTCTCCAGGTTTTCAGACAAATGTTTTTCCTGCCTTAGCTGAAGGTTGTGAAGATTGAGCCTGTTATTTTCAATATGCAAAGATGGGCTCTACCACTGACTTATAGTAAGATCTTATAATTTACTTTATAAGTAAGATATTATAATTTACAGTAAATGGGTTTACAGTTTGTTCATAGGATTGTGGTCTTTTCTTGAAAGTACCATGTATACACATATATAAATCAAAGTCGAGGACACATTTTGGGACCAAAATTATGGATTTTGATATAACCCATGGATAAGAGAGGGGAAAGTACCAGTGCCATCTCAGGGGACCAGCTACCTTAGCCACTGATGCCATTTCCCTGCCCAGGCATTGAAAACGCCAAAAGCAATTGACCCAATTTTGGGGGTTGATTTTTTGACTAACATTTCTACACATATACATTACTATTAGGGTAACACACTGAGCTATGATTATGTCTTTCTGTTGCATATGTATATATGAAATACTTAATATTTTAAAAAATAAAAATACTTTTCTTTCTTCTGTTAAATGTCTGCATGTTCTTTATAGATAACATTGTTGCAGCTCTCCTGTTCAAGTTGCCTGGCCATCTTAATGGAATGGAATCATAGTCCTCATCTTTTATGTAATTTATTTGTTGTTGTAGCTGTGTATTTTAAGTAATTTTGGACTTATGGTAACACTAATGTGAACCTATCATGGGGTTTTATTATCAGAATTTGTTCAGAGTGGATACATATAGTTTTCCAGAACTATATGTGAAATATATAAGAAAGTCAAGAACTGTTCTTAAGTTTTGTTAAAGTACACCAGGACTATGTGCAAACTAGGAATCATTATTGCTTAGCTTGGAATCTGTCTTCTGTGTGAGAATTCTCTGGGATAGTGTGGGCAACTGTGCCCCCCCCCCCCCCCGGATATTATTAGAACTCTTCTAGTCCCAATATTTGACTAGACTGCCCAGACTTGCAGGGAATTGTAGGCCAAACATACCAACATCTTTTACATTACAGAATTGTAGCACTACAGTTTTACTTTAACTACCACGACTGAATCCTGAGGAATCCTGCGATTTGTAGCATGAGTTTCTAAAGCTCTCTGTTTAGGACAAAGGGGGCAGTATTCATTCCTTATTGGTTCAAGTTTCTAATTCTAATGTAATTTATCTTAAAAACACAAAACAGTGTATGTGTGAAGGGGTAAAGGTAAGAAAGAGTATTTTGTCTCATCCAGAATATCTTTGTGATACGGTATTATGAAGGTGTTCTTCACTTCTTTGTTTGCTGTAGGGTCGTAAAGTAATAGAAGACAAATTGAATGGTCACATCATGTCTACTGCCTAGGTGTGGGATGATGGCCTAAAGCCTTACATATTTACTATTTCTTGTAAAGTTTTAAACTGGCAAGGATAGGGGAATCTCACAATCTCCTTCGGTGTCCTATTTGTTCCTAGCCTAATGTTTATTCCCAGCAGTCTGATTCTAACTGCATTGCCTCAGAGTTCAGTGGCACTTCTTCATGTAGAGCTGCAGCTTCTTGCTTGCACATGATTTAACATTATGAGACTTACTTCTTAGTAAATATACAGAGAATTAGACTGAGTTCTGGGTTATCTGTATTTTACCTTCAGCGAGAGTTGTCTCCCATGTAGCCTTCATATTTTGGTGCAAGGGATTTGAACCGAAGTTTGCTCAAATGAAATATAGGTGAATTGCCTTGACTTGCTATAGTTTTGTTTTAATGGATTTGGTGATCTGCATGGAGACATGTGATAGCATCAAGGGCTGGAGAAAGATTTGCCAAGGGAACAAGAGATGGAATTGGAGGCAGTAATTGCTGCAGCGACTTGCTTGTTCCAAGTTATGCCTGTTAAGAACAGACTGTCCATATGCTTCCCTGGAGGCTGGATTGCTGAAGATGAGGGTTAGCATCTACATGAAAGATAGCCATTTCTTTTCTGGACATCCCAAAAGCCAGATATCTGTGAATAGTAGATGTTTAGAGTTGAGGAAACTAGAGACACTCTACATAAGGTTCATCCCTGTTGATTCTTCCTAAAAAAACAAACAGAACCCTGAACTTGAACCCTCTTAATCCTTATAGTGTACATAGAAACATTAAAATATGGTTCCAAGGACATCATAATGGGCGTGATTTTCTTTACCAAATATACATACGCTATAGCCCCCTCCCCCCTTTGTGGGAAAGCTTGATTCCACAACTCCCGCTATAATGAGCTCTCCTCCGCAAATTACCTGCTTCTCTCTTTTATCTCACCCGAGTTTTTAATTAGTTTGTCTTTTAATCATGACATGTAGCCCGCCCATTGTTATTGTGCTTCCGTTTACTGAAATTTTCATATTGTTATGTATTCATACGTTTTATGTAACTATTACGTTATTGTTTATTGTTCGCGTTTTCGGTTTGTGTTTTGGTTTTTCTTTATTGTAATTGTTATTTGGGCTTGGCCTCATGTAAGCCATTCCAACTCCCCATTGGGGAGATGGTGGTGGGGTATAAATAAAGATGATGATGATGATGATGATGATGATGATGATGATGATGATGGTGGTGATGATGATGATGATGATTATTATTATTTGACACTTCTTTGCCTCACAGTATGAGCACCCCCTTCAGCTTACACCCACCATTATTTAAATCTTCTTATTTCATGCTATTGTTAAATCTCCAAAACCCACTCTCATACCAAAACAGCTATCCTCTGTCCCACAGCCTAACATTATTGTCTCCTAAATATTAGTGTCCTTCGGATCTCTGCTGTTCAGATCTTTTTCCACTGTTAAAACTTCTGTACAACACCCTTCCCTCCGACTGCAAGTCCCAAACTTCTACATACTTGTGCTGCTCATCTAAAATGAAGTGAAGATACACAGAACTTGAGATGTGCCCTTCGGCTGTAGTAGAGGTGTCAGCCACTGCTATACATTGATATATTGTGGGAACTTTTTAGTCAGAGTACCTAAACCACTTCAGGTAAAAAAAAAACCTGCTGGACACAAGTGGTTGAAAGTGTGAAATTAGGATTGACAAGGTTAAGTAAATAAGACATATTATATCAACTGAAAATGTAAACTGGAATTTAATAATTGAGATTTATATTACTCTTCTTGTGTTAACAATTAATTAAAAAGTACTTTTTAAAAACCACCTAAACCACTTTTAATTTTCAAAACTGAAAGCGAAAGAGTTCCTTTGTTAAAATCAAATAAATATTTGTTTTATGACAGCTCAATGGATAGGAGTTCCATACTCTTAAGATTCTTACCAGCCATATTATGGACTTTCAGTGGTTCATGCCTGATATGTTCAATGGATGCTTCCCCAAGAGGTAAGGCATGTTTTAGGGTAACAAGCATATGGTCATCCTAACATATATATTTGCATATTTACATTTGGCATGATTTGTCTTGTGTTTTGAAAGACAGATATGAACTTCAAAACTCATTGCTGAGGTACATATCTGTGTGGTAGTTCCACTATAGGAGGGGAAATGGGTTCATTAAAAGGAATACACATTCCTCCCAAAGTCTAATTTGACCCAGATTTTCCAGATGATAACTCTGCCTGGATGGAGAAGAAATCCTGCTTACCTGTCCCACCCAGCTTCTCTCATTTTCCAATTAGTGTTAAGCATCAATCGGTGCTCTGTTCTCATTTCTTCTTAGTCTTGACCAGTCCTTTCTGCACCAGGCTGCGGTACAGTTCCTGGATATAAGTGTATATGCATTTGCTATCGGGAACACTCATGCGCACCATATCATCCACCTCCAGAAGTTGGGCACAGTCAGCAAGTTTCCTGGGGAAAAGTTGGGAAGAGGTTGTTAATGACCAGGTCACCTTGACAACTTTCTCAGCATCACTGCATCTACAAGGCACCTCCTTGAGCACACAGTCCTCAGGCAAAAAATGTAATAAGACCTCACTCTGGAAAAACTAACATGGGATGGATGGGGACTGCAATATAAATTATGGTCCAGATAAATCACATGCCTGGAAGTACTAATAAGATTGATAGGTCTTTGGAGGGTGGCATAATTTCTACCATGTATCTCAAGAAGATGCAAGGAGAGCTGTTCTGTATCTCAGAAGATACTTAGGCTAGTTTTACTAGACTTCTGAGTAATATGATCAGCTGAGACATGGCATCTCAATTTAACTTTATTATCTGATTGTGGTGAATTTTCTTTTTTTAATAGCCTGGAAATAACCACTATATGTGCGCCACATAATCACTATGTGCTTACAGCATAAGCGGTGTTTATGTTGATTATAGTATCCCCCATAAAGACAGTTCCTGAACATAGGAATTGAAACAGAAAAACACGAATAATAGCAAACCCTGTTGAAATTAACAGCTTCTGCTATAAATTACCATAGAATATCACAGAGGATCTAAAAATTCATAGAGGTACTGGTGGTAGATAAATGAAACCTTTTTAAAAATATAAATCCCAGAGTTTGATAGCATGAGTGGTCCCTGGGAGATTGTGGAAATTGTCCCAAAAGTGACTTTTCCAATCTCAGAATTCAGAAAATACTTATATTAGGGAAGCCACATCTGCAGAACATGCAATAAACTTGTGTCGAGCCTCAACCAATATCCATGGTTTCACCTCTGGCTATATCCCAATGGCATGTATCTGGTGTATTCTGAAGTCATGCCTTTTTCCTTCAGGTGTGCCAATTTCTATGACTACAGGACTTCTGGTCTCTCTTTAATTGGATGAATCCCAGTTATTGAATTTGGCTTGGAGAAGTGCAGCTTGTTGTCAGTTTGCTTAAACTTTGCCTCTTCTGGTTTACAACAGCCAATAGAATTAAGTGTGTGTATATTGCTTGTTGGATTTTGATTACAGAATAAATTTCATAGAGTTTTCTTAAGCAAGAAATATTCAGAACTGGTTTTGCCAATTCCTTCCTCTGAAATATAGCCTACAGGACCTGATATGTGTTGGTGGTCTCCTATCCAAGTAGTAACCAGGGCTGACCCTGTTTAGCTTCAGTAATCAGATGAGATCTGGTGCATTTAGGGTATGTAAAGACACTCTGCTAATTCCTCTGAACTTTTTCCCCATACTGCTCTCTGGGCTGATTATCTAAGAAGAAAATTTAGGTACAGTACTCTCTGGCAAGGATGGGAGTCATTTAGCCTTCCAAATATGGTTGGAAGACCACAGCAGTCCTAGCCAGCACAGCCAATGGTAAAGAATGCTGGAAGTTGTAGTCTGACAACATCTGAAGCCTACAGAGTTCTCATCCCCATTCTTTTGGCTCTGTTCCTACTTGGTTGACCATACTGGAAAATTATTGCATCACCCTATGGTACATGTTTTATGGAGCTCTGCAGAACCTAATGTTCTGTCAACATTTACTTGTAACCACTTAACCATTTGGGTGAGTTTTCACATTGTTACCATAATACCTAGAACTTGTTCGCCTTTACATCCTTAGAATCTGATGAGGTAGTAGTGCTATGTTGGCATGTGGGATCAGGAAGGAAGATTAAGAACTTAAAGATTGGTCCAGAAAACATAGATATGCTGTTTGGTGGGTGATTTGATGAGATAGTATTCAACCTGTTTTGAAGTGTTTGCATTCTCTTCAAATATCACAGTATAGAGTGTGTTTGTGCTTCCAAGTGTGTTTTTGCAAGCTGCACTACTTACTGGACCGGGGATAGCCTGGGAATGGTTATCCACGTTTCTGCCATAAAAGACTTCAGAGAAACCTCAAAATTGATCTAGAATATTAAGCTAGATTGCTGACTGGTTCTGACTTTGTAGAACATTCCTTGCTACTTTATTTTAAAAATTCAGTTTCAAAACAAACCATGAATTCTGCTACTTGCTTTCAAAACTCTTCATGGCTTGTGGGCCCAGCTGTATGAGGCCTACCTATTTCTACTTGCTTGTGTGCTGTGATCACACTTCCAGGTTTCCCCACTTTCAGAGCCTAGATGGTTTTTAAGCCCTACATACTATTCCAACCTGTCTGACATTAGTGGCCTCTTGAAATTAGGGGATGCTCACTCAGCAGTGGAAAATGCCAAGGTAAAATTCTCTCTACGGTTTGCTGGGTCAAGAGTAGCATAGTCAAAGGCATCTGGGAAGTAACTGTGGATGAGGGCACAAAAGCCCATGGCACTACTCCAACTGGAAGAGAAGTTCTGGATGTCCACATGCTAGGATGAGAAAGAGAAACATTAATTGTGGCAGGTTCACCCATCTCCGCTCCTTGTACTTTCTCTTACATATGAAGACACACATGAACACAGAGTAGCTGTTACAAATACATATTTTTATGAACATGCCTGCATTAATAAATAGCAAAAGAACTGTGTTTTATACTGGTTAGATTTTTTGGTGTCCTACTGAGGGGAGCAAAAATCATGCCTGTCATTCTGTTTTCCCTGCTATGTCGCTGGCCCAGTTTGGAGCTGCCTACAGCAGTGTTGTTCAGACTCGGCTCCTCCAGGTATTTTGGACTTCAGCTCCCAGAAATCATAGCCTGCTCACTAGCTTTCAGGGATTGTGGGAGCTAAAATCCAAAACATCTGAAGGAGGACATTTTAAGAAACTCTGGTCTAGACGATCTACTTCGTCACACTAGAGAATGAATCCACTTTAAAATCTGGTTTCTGCCTCCTGCAGAATTATGGAGTTTGTAGCTTAGGGAGGCTGTTAAAGGCTCCTCCCTATCTACAAACCCTAGAATTCTGCAGGAGGCAAAAATCAGATTTAAAGTGGATTCATTCTTGAGTGTGATGGACTGCCATCTCTAGAAAAATGACCTACATCAGTGTCCTAGTAGTAAGTGATGAAATCTAGTGACTACAGGTGGTACTGCATCTTAGAACATTATTTACATTAATTTAAATTAATTAATCATAAAAATCCCAAGATGCATACCCTAGGGTCCCCTTAATATGCTTTCCAAGTTTCAGATGTTTATGTTTCACTGTCTTGGGACTATTGTTTTAGATGTGGCATTACTGTCCATAAAAATAACTGCCTGGAAAAGATAGATTTTCCTCACTTTTTAAAAGACTGCTATTCACTTGTGTCAATTAAATAATTGCTACCTCTGCAGTATATGAAATAATTAGGCCTGCAAAATGTATAAAATCTAGGAATATGGTTTTTATGAGGAGCTCAAAATTGTGAAACCCAGGCACTTCATTTTGTGAAAGAATAATAATTTATGTATCTATGGCATTTTAAGACAAATCATATTTCCCTCTCTACCTTCTTCATCAGCTGTAGGACTATTTTTACTTATTGCTATGAAACAAAAAGGATAGTAATACATAATCTAATAGAACATGAAGCATTTATGTTTGTCAGTTCCAAGGAGAACATGTTGTAATGATACAAGATAGGTACATCTAAAAATAAATGTGGATGGAAATCCTATGAATTGGGATTATTCACCTCCCAGTGAAGAAGATCATCCCTAACCAATGTTTTGTTTTCAAATGTGTTCTGGTATTTTGAGGACTTGCAAAATATATTCCAGAGCGATAGACAAAAAACCAATGTCACCATGGCTTGGGGAGCAGCCTATTTACATCCTACTGAAAGCCTGTGTGTAGGTAGATGCAAAGTAATTATACCACTTGGCATTCATGAAATGCTTTTAGTATGTTCAAAGTGCCTCATGCACAGGCACCCAGAGCCTAACTTCACGTGACATTAAATGCATTTTCTGTAACATTGTATGAGATCTGTTTAAAAAATTAATAGTGAGCAAGAGGCAAAAAGGTCAATTTTGAATTGGAACTATAGTATGCAGGGGGAGGGGTTAACTCTTAATTCTCCTGCTGATTGCTTTCTTGTACTGCACTAACGCTGCTAATTACTATACAGGAGGCGGAAAGGAGGCACCTACTTGTTAGGTTCAAAGTGGGGCGGAAAGGCATTAAAACTCCTTATGTGTCGGGTCGCTGTTCAAAAAGATCTCTCACTGTATTTAAGAAATGTTTTTAAATCCTCACATAATGCTCCTGGTGATACATTAAATCTCATGTGAAGTCAACCTTCCGTGTATTAAATGTTGAAGCATTTTGAAACAGAGTTCGAGCTTGTTTTAATGATGTCTTCACCTACTCTGTTCTGACTGATTCTGAATTTTGTTGTTTTAACTTATTCTATATTTTATCACTTCTGTTTTACACCAACTGTTCTGCATGGTGGCTTGGAAATCTCTTAAGCACATATACAAAATATTATGTTTTCCAACCAACGAAATGAAAAGGGAGAAACTGAAGGTAACATATGGGAGCTAGATAAGGAGAACTTTTGAGTCCGGGTTTTTAAAAATCTTTCTACCCTTTTAGGATGAATTTCAGCATAAAATACAAGGGAATAGGAAAGAACCATTTGCGTTCAGTTGGTACTGGAGTGGGTTAAATTGTGGTTTAGGTTTCATAAGATTCCAGTTTTTCAAAAAATGATATAAAGTTGGGCCAAATACGATAAAAGTCAATCCAATCTGGTTGGCAGCACCACCTAAAGAATACGCTTTTTTGTGAATGGTGGAGGAAGGGACAACACATCTCCATGACCATTGTGGATGAGACAGCTTCTTTAACTGAATCCTCTAAAACCCCACTCCTATGCACCTTAGTAAGTTCCATCGAGTTCATTTAGATTGACTTCCACAAAAGCAAATATAAAAATGTTGCCTAATATTTCATAAAAGTTGTTTAAGGTTATGTTCAGATATGCAGGCAATGTTGCTCCTTCCTATTACAACCAATAACAAACACATATGCCGAATTCAATCAAGGAATATTAAGATCTCTCGGGTTTCTGTTTCTCAGGTTTTTCTTACCTCATAGCCACGAGTCTTGGCCCGACACCATTCCAGCAACATGGTCTTTATAGTGTTTGCCCCTCCTGTCTTTTTGATGTTAGGGGCAGGTCCAGTTGCAGCCCTTTGGAAAGAGAAAGATGCAGAAGTAACCAAAAGAGAATATAAGGTGTTAGTTGAAGGGGAACAATCAAAACATATTATATAAATATGCACAATTCATGGAGCATTCAAATAATTCTATTCCTTTCTTCTTTTTCTATTGCACAGATGCATATTCTGGAGAAATATCTGCTTGGTTAGGGTCAGTGGCCACTAATTAGGTTATTTCTGCATATGTTAACTTATTCTTCAGTCTTCTCCAAGAGGAACCAAGTATAATTCAAAGGTTTGAGGTGATCTTAGACAAATATCTTCTGTTGCCATCTCCCATCACTGACCTCTGATGGCCTAACCTGTTCAGTGGCATCATTCTAAGCAACACAGAGCAGATGGGGCAGCCACTCTTGACATTTCCCATAATATTCAACAGCAATGATAGATCCAGGCACCGTGGGAAATTAAAAGGTGGCTAAATGCAGCCACTTGGAACAGAATCTAGAAACATTACTGTTTTAGACTACAGCTCCAACATCTGCATTGGCTGAGAGGTTCTGAGAGATGTAGTCCATGGAAATAAACTTTCTGAGATCTTGTTGATAGTAAGGTAAAGGTAAAGGTTTTCCCCTGACATAAGTCCAGTCGTGTCCGACTCTGGGGTGTGGTTCTCACTCATTTCCATTTCTAAGCCGAAGAGCCAGCATTGTCCGTAGATACTTCGAAGGTCATGTGGCTGGCATGACTGCATGGAGCGCCGTTACCTTCCCGCCAGAGCGGTAGCTATTGATCCACTCACATTTGCATGTTTTTGAACTGCTAGGTTGGCAGAAGCTGGGGCTGACAGCGGAAGCTTACACCACTCCCTGGATTCGAACCTGCAACCTTGTGGTCAACAAGTTTAGCAGCTCAGTGCTTTAACCCACTGCGCCACCGGGGGCTCCCTTGTTTATAGTACCAAGTCAGAAAAAGAAATCTAAGGAAGATCCAAGTGAGGTGTTGGCCATGAGCCTTGCCTGGGCACTGACAACTACTAAGGGTGCCAGGTGTCATCACCATCCCCGCAGCTTGCTATCTTATTTATTTAATTTCTATCCTACCTCTTTCCCAACATGAAACCTGAAGCAAATTCAAGGAAAATATAGCTAAAACCAGTTATGCTAAGTTTTAAAATGAGCAATTTTATTATAAAATTAAAAACAGTTCAAAAGCTTATAAAACAAAATAATGAAAACAAAAGGACAGCACCTCCATTAAAATACCCTTATGCAACTTCCAGTTAGCAGCCAATGACCTGCCTAAATAAAAAGGTCTTTATCAGTTGGCAGGAAGAGAGCGGAGAGGAGACCAACTTAATCCTGAGGGAAGAAATTCCATAACCTCAGAGCAACTACTGAGAAGACCCACTCCCAAGCCCTCGTCAAACCTCACTGAAGAACCCCAAATAACTTAAAACTTAGCCAGGCTTAAATCAGGAAATATGGTCTTTTGGATTGCCTGCACTTAAGCCATATATGACTTCATAGTCATAAGCAGCACTTTGAAGTGTTACCTTTCCTTTAACATGTATTAATATTTAACAATCCCATTTCTCAATTTTCTGTGAAAACTCTTATCCAGGTTTAGTGCAACAAAAGAAACACCAGGAGGGGGCATAACGGGCTGTGCAGAACTGCGAGGAAAGCCTAAAACTAGCTTGAACCATAAGCTTGATATCAAGATGCCTATTGTAATGGCATCTGTAATTATGATGAACGAAAAGAAGCTTTTATGCTTCATAAGGAGGGTGAAATATTGGATTTAGTAAGGAAACATCCATAATGATTTTTTTAAAGAGAGAAGCACAAGGTTACCCTCCAAACTTGTCCATAATGGCCTTGCGGGACTGAGCTCTGGGAGGCATCCGAGGTCTTGTTATTTCCCTCCTATCCAGTGCAGGTCTTTTCTTTTTCTCCTTAGAGCCGGCTGTTGCCTCAGGTGAAGTTTGCTGCTGCTTTTCTTGAGTCCCTTCAGGAGCTGCTTCAATGCTAAAAACCAAAAGCAAGCCAAGAAATAGTTGTGGGGGATGGAGGGATACCAGATGAAGGATGGCAATACATGATGTCGTTCTAAAAATGGCAGGAGATACCAGGATGTTGACCAAGAGAAGAACAACCTGGCTGCTCTCAGGAGAAGTATCTTAATAGTTTTGTTGGCTGCTAGTTCTGAGGAGGTGGGAGTTGCTGTCGTTGTGTTAATTCTCTGTTGATGTCGTTATTGCTGCCTTATGATCTCAGGCCTGTGCCCTTTTCACAGGCATGTTTCCTTCAAAGGGCCAGTGCATGAACCCACGGCAAAAAGGCAACACTATTTATTTTTCACTTACATTTACATCCCACGTTTTCTCCAATAAGCTCCAGGAGTCAAATATTGTTCTCCTTCTTACTTTGTCTTCCAAGCAATATTTTGAAGTGGCTCTGACTCATGGCCATACTGTGTTGTGGATTTGAACCTGGCTCCCCTAAATCCCAGCAGTTTAACACTGACTTGCCTGCTTTCTATTAATTGTTTTTTGTGAGTTGAACTGAAGACTGCTAACCATGTGTATTAACCATTAATACATTTCCATTCTGGTATTAAATAAAGACAATGATCACATTTTGCTTTCTATTTCCCCAAAATGATAAAGACCGGGGTGGGGGGGTGGGTGGGTATATTTTTCCCCACGATACCAGTGAAGTACTCTTCCCTTCATGCTATACGTACAGATAAGAATGCTAATGAGAACTAGAATTTTTAAAATCATATTCCTAGCCCTGAGAGGCACTGGATAATCTAAGTAAAAGATTGTCTTGCCTGGTAGTGTCCCTGGTAGCAGCCTCTGGAGTGCTTGGGCCTGAGGTGGTGCTGCCTAGACCAAATTACAGAAAATGGTACTGTTAAAAATCTCACCCACTTTGGAAATGATGATACGTATATAGTAGACTGTGGTTGATGACATACCAGCTGAACACTGAATACTAAAACATTTATTCATAACCCTAACTCATACTTCCCCATATTTCGTTCCTGGACCTATCATGGAAATGTGAAACTGGAGATAATAATTCAAACTTATGACAGAAGTATAACATTGTGCTGGAGGATCTAGAAAATGCCTAGACACAATACCTTTCTTGCATTTCTAGGTCCTCTAGCATAACTGTATTGTCAGAGACAACATATTTTTTCAGATGCGGCTAAGTGAAATCGCAGGTATTGGTGCCAAGGATATGCGGGTCGTACTGTAATACTTTTAAATAATATATTACAATATATAATCAAAATCAATCTGTATTAAAATGTTGGACCCAATTTCAAAGCAGTATATTTCATGATGGCAAAATGTATTTTCTTGCACATTGCTTTGGACATCCTGCTGGCAAGAGAAGTGATGAATAAACACTCTGAATGAACAATAATTCCCAAGCTTCTCCATCTTGCTTCTCAGAATGGTCAGATACAGTATGCTAGTTGTACTATAGAGAAATAATGATAACAATATAATGACTGAGGACCAAACACCACTGAGTATGGTCCTCAGACCATGCAGTCTTGCAGGTAGGTCAAGTAGTCTAGTTTCTGAAGGGGTTCAGCTGTCTTCTCAGCATTGTGAGGATTAGAGACAGTTTGGAAGTACTCATGTGTTTGAAATGAAATGTGCATTTCCTGAGGATTCTCAGATTTTCTGTCAGGTGTGAATTTCACATTCAAATTATAAATTTTAAATCTAATAATTCCCTTCACAATGTCCCAATGTTCTGAAGAAATTTCCTTACCCGTTTCCATGCTTTTGAGCTCTGTGGGGCTTTGTGGGCTCTCATCAGGAGAACTTGGAGAGAATTCTGGCCAGTATTCTTCCTCTGGTCCGGGTGAGAGAGGCTCATCAGAAGTACTGCCAGTTCGGCCCTGAGGGCACAAAAGAAATGAGAGGAGACCAACCACAATTCATTTCCAGTTTTGTTCACTGGATGCCTTGAATTCACAAAATTTCCAATAAACTGTTAGAAACTTGATACTTATATTTTTGCATAATAACATTATTTTTAAAAACGGACTTTAGAGTTCCCAGTGAAGTTTGTGGAGCTAAAAAGGTCTGTCTGTGACCTATACCTTTCACAGCCCTGTTCAGTTAGATGCATGTATTGTTTACAAGAAAATCTCTTAGACATAAAGATGATAAAAATATATGGTATGCAAAACTGTATATGAAATAATTCTTTCAAAGTAATAAGGCTTGTTTTACTTTTGGCCAGGTTCTGTCAGAGCACCTTATACCTTGGATTGCTAGACTGAAAGCTAGAGATAGCTTCTGCACCTTTTATAATTGCAGAAGTCAGAATAAGTAGATTGAAGTATAATTAAGATATAAGTATAACTAAGTAGCTGATATAGAATTCATTTACATTTAATCATGACAGAATATATACAATGTGCCATAAAGCTACCAGAATGAAAACTGGAGGGGCTCTTGTACCTTTTATGATTGTGCAAAAGAGAACATTTTAGCAGGTACTGCTTGTTTCTTGCATGTTTGACATTTGTTAAGTAACATTTTTGGCATGAATCCTTATGGAAACATCATTTGCTTGTGGTCTAATTGCCAGTAGAAGAACCTCTTCCTCCTCATACAGTTGATGTTTAAGTAAATAGATTAGGGATGGGGAGCGAATTATAATTGTGGCCATTAGAGATTATGAATAAAGAACAGTAACCTAGATTTACTCAAGTGTAACTGTTTTGTATTCATGATCACTGCTTGGTCATTATTTTGAAACTATTGCCACAGTCTTACTCCCCCACCCTCCTTTCCTGGGCATAAGATGCATGAAAGAAAGAGGTTCATTTTGCTGGTGATTGGAGCAGGATGAATTATGTTTCCATCAGGTTTGGTGGTAGATTGGGTCAGGTATCATTTATACTCATTCTGATACAGAATCCTAGCCATGATCTAAAAGACAAATATTAATGTAAATGCATCTTAAAGATAATTATGCGCAACAGAAAGACACCAACCACTCTACGAGTCTTAATGTGAATGTCTATGCCACACATTCACATTAAGGGGGTGCAGCTGTCATATTAGCTACTTATGCTCTATATAATTGTGTGAGGAGAGTTAACCAATCACAAATAGGTGGAAGCTTTCCCCTATTCCGAAAGCCGGAGAAGTCTATAGTATGTGTGATAAGGAATGTTTTTGTATTTGTATTATGATTTGTTTATCTGTGTCGTTTTGGTTCCTATTATTACTATATATATTGCATTTTTGTTGTAAGTCACCCCAAGTCCTTTTTGGGAGAGGGGATGAAATACAAATAATGTTGTTGTTGTTATTATTATTATTATTATTATTATTATTATTATTAGGAATGTGGAGACTAGAAAAACACTCTGTTCCTACCTCTTTGCTGGAATTGCTGGCATTTTTCTCGACAGCACCAGCTTTTCCTCCTTTTCCTTCCTGGGGTTCTTCTTCTGTGCCAGAAACACCAGCTTCTTCCTTGGGTTCTGCCCCAGATTCACCCGGAGCCACTGCGGCCTCAGCCTGTGCTTGATGGCTTTCCTTCATGTCTTTGATGGTTTCAGATCCCTGTCCCTCCTCATTGACCAAAGACTTTTTAGTGATCTCATTGACCTTCTTTGCCTCTTTCCCAGAATCCTCTCCTTTGTCTGCTTGATTCTCTCTGGCACCTTCATTCCCAGTATCCTCTGTTTTTTCTGCTTCACTCTTCCCAGCATCATCATCTTTCCCAGTTTTGTTCTCCAAAGCAGCTTCTTTCCCAGTTGTCTGTGCTTTCCCTGTCTCGTTCTCGCCAGACTCTTCATTCCCAAGATCGTCTGTTTTTCCTTCTTCGCTCTCTCCTTTAGATACGATCTGAACATCTCCTGACTCTCCCTTCTGCGCCACCCCGTTGATCTGCTGCATCTCCTGCTGCTCCTTGGTATCTTCAGCTTCCATGATGCCAGGCTCCTCACTTCAGTCAGTGGATTTTAAAGCAGCTGGCTTTTTATAGGTCCAGCTCTAAAAAGACACAGTGTACAGAAAAAAGTGGGGAAACTTGAAGTAATAAATGCTTTCATGTGTTTCTACCAATTGAGGTGAATTGTAGTCATCTCATAGCCAGAGAGACAAATGGACTCCTGCCCCATTCTACATACAGAAGCTGGTTGGTCTACCAGTTAATTTACTAGCATCCTAAACCATAGGTGAGTATTGCTGGCCAGTTCGAGGAATAAAGAAGTCATATGGCACAACAGGTAACGGTACTGCATTATAAGCGCAGAATGGCTGAGCCACAACATCTATTATCGGAGGCATTTGCATCACTCAGCCTAAGGTATGGTCATCCTGGGTTAACCAGCTTATATAGACTGTTAAAAAAATCAAAGATGAGTGATGTGAGATACATAGCTGTATTCATAAGCAAGAAGGGTGACATAAATGTATTCTACTAACTTTGTAGGAGTCCCTGGTGGTGCAATGGGTTAAACCTTTGTGCTGGCAGAACTGCTGTCTGACAGGTCAGTGGTTTGAATCTGGGGAGAGCGGGTTGAGCTCCCTCTGTCAGCTTCAGCTTCCGATGCAGGGACATGAGAGAAGCCTCCTACAAGGATGGTAAAACATCAAACATCCGGGCACCCCCTGGGCAATGTCCTTGCAGATGGCCAATTCTCTCACACTAGAAGCGACTTGCAGTTTGCCAAGTCACTCTTGACACACACAAAAACCCAACTTTGTGTTATATATATTTGTAAAAGTTATAAAAAAAGTTAAGCTTCATATTAAGCTCTCAACCAAAAGGGTAAACCAGGAACAGATACAATTCTCTGATGAGATAATCACACCTAATGGAACGAGTCAATAATTTGCTGCTGTTCTCTTCACTTTTTCAGGTTTGTTTACTATTCATTAATGGTGTGAAAATGCAATCACCATAAGATGGGAGAACCAATTGAGGCAGCTGGCCTTGTTCTGTTTGATGATAGGGCAGGCCCCGTCTCAAAACCCGTTAAAGAAGCAACTTACTTGAAGATCCTTACTCAGAGATCCTTCAAGACAGGTGTGTAAGCATGCATGTGTGCCAATGCAAGTCATTGCCCTGCTACTTTCTTCTCACTTAGTAAATCATCTTTAAATAAAACCTGGAGACAAATGCCAGGAACAGTCTGTGACGGGCATGAAACGTGCAACAGACAACTTCAGGGAGTAGGGGCAGGTGAAACATCCTATCACCTGCTAAAAATACCCCCCTGACATTTGCAAATAACAGTTTGAGAACTCAGAATGTCTAGGATGTTTGACCAAAGCATGGATTGGTTAGGATCGACACTGGCTCTTGCTATTTCCCCTGAAATCCTATACCCTCTCACTTGTCATTAAGTCTTATTGAGCTCAATGGAGCTGAGTTTCGAGTTGACTTTATAAGATTGTACTGCTAGTGACCCTGCTCTTTCAGAGAGGAATGCTTTACAGGCTTATCAGTCTTTCAGGACTTTGTCATTCTATCCTCTGGTCAGATAGAGCATTTTACAGGAGAGAGCTCTTGTGTAGGGGGAAAAAGCTTGAAGGAAAAAAGGAAGTTGGAGTTGTGAGCTAGAAGAGATGACTGAGTGTAGTTTGTCAAATAAACCTACATAGGAAATCCATCTGAGTTAAAAGAACAGACACATATGAAGAATATTCACGAGCAAGCACATATCTCCTTTGCTTTCTTCCAGCTATGAAAACTTATCCAGCCCTTCTCAATCATACCTTATTAAGTGATTTTCTCCTTCCCCCTTTTCCCTTCTGTCTCAGTCCCTTCCACTCAGCTGTATAAAATCCACATCGATCTGGATTATATGGCAGTGTGTACTCAGATAACCAGTTCAAAGCAGATATTGTGGATTATCTGCCTTGATATTCTGGGTTATATGGCTCTGTGGAAGGGTCCTCAGCCTCACACTTGCTTGCTGCTTTTATCTTGGGTTTCTTACAGAAAGGATAGAGAAGCTGTGCCCTCCTCCAGATATTGTACAACTACAAATCCAGTCATCTTAACCATAGGCCATGATGGAGGTAAGAGCCCAGTTATATCTAGAAACCCACAGGTTTATTATTTATTTATTTATTTATTTACTTTACTATACTTATATACCGCTGTTCTCAGCCCGAAGGTTTCTTTTGCCCTATGAGCACACACCAAATTCACTTGGGTGTGTCCTAAATGTTATTGCTAAGAGGTATCCTCTTTCTGCCTGAAACTGCTTATCATGCCTCAGCTACATGTACCCACTCAGGTGGGTACTACCTAACCCTTGTGAATACCAGACTAGGTTTACTGTGATTACTATACAAACATTGCTTTCTTCTCTATTCCCAGAATCCACTGATGGATAGGAACAACTTGAGTGGATGGGATACCAACCAACCAACCAACCAATGTAGTCAATCCTCTACATTCACAGCAGTTGGGGCCATAGGGCCCTCACATAAATGGAATAATGGAGAATTAAAAAAACGCAGAAATAACTTCTTTCTAGGAATCTTAAGGTCCTCCCAACATTATTCTGTGGTCAACTTTCTCTAGCAGTTAGTTGCCTGCATTTTAATGAAATCCGCAAGAGTCAAGTCCTCAGATATGGAGAACTGACTGTAACCATTTTGTTGAAAGAAAAACATATTTCAAACCTGAATGGCAGACCCTCCGCAAAGAACGGGAAGGTTTTTGTAGAAATTAAACACAGAGTTGCTAGCTATTATGTTAAGCTCTGGCATTGTTGCATGCTGAAGCCTGCATTCATTTTCCCCTTGCTTTGGCTGGCTCCTGTCCTTGCATTCTATAAAACCTGTAGTCCAATAAATCTTCTCACTGAGCTTCTGTTAAAGCCCAGTGTTATTTCCTTTCTTATAATTTGTAGGTTGCTGTGAAAATCTCACTGCTCAGACAATAGTGGAGCAAACAGGCTTTTGACCATCAGTCATATTGGGGAAAAAAGAAATTATTGGGTTTTGACCTTATTCAGCTTTTTTGTTATTTATTTGTTCAGTCACTTCCAACTCTTCATGACCTCATGGACCAGTCCATGGCAGAGCTCCCTGTCAACCATCGCCACCCCAGTTCCTTCAAGGTCAAGCCAGTCACTTCAAGGATACTATCCATCCACCTTGCCCTTGGTTGGGCCCTCTTTCTTTTTCTTTCCATTTTCCCCAGTGTCATTATCTTCTCCAGGCTTTCCACTCTTCTCATTATGTGGCCAAAACACTCCATTTTTGCCTCTAATATCCTTCCCTCCAGTGAGCAATTGGGCTTTATTTCCTGGAATATGGACTGGCTTGATCTTGTGGTCCAAGAATTTTCCTCCAACACCACATTTCAAAAGCGTCTATCTTCCTTTGCTCAGCCTTCTTTATGGTACAGCTCTCACATATATAGGTTACGATGGGGAATACCATTGCTTTAATTACGTGGACCTTCATTGCTAGTGTGATGTCTCTACTCTTAATTATTTTATTGGGAATGGTCATTGCTCTCCTCCCAAGAAGTGAACATCTTTTGATTTCTTGGCTGCAATCTGCATCTGCAGTAATCTTCACATGTGGAAATACAAAGTCTGACCCCGCCTCCACGTTTTCTCCCCCTATTTGCCAGTTATCAATTGGTCTGGTTGCCATAATCTTGGTTTTTTTTTATGTTCAACTGCCACTCAGCTTTTGCACTTTCTTCTTTCGCCTTGGTTAGAAAGGCTCCTCAGCTCGTCTTTGCTTTCAGCCATCAAAGTGATATCATCTACATATCTAAGGCTGTTAATGTTTTGTCTAGCAATTTTAACTCCAGTCTTGGATTCGACAAGCCCCCCATGTCACATGATGTGTTCTGCATACGAGTTGAATAGGTTGGGTGAGAGTATACAGTCCTGACGTACACCTTTCCCAATCTTGAACCAGTCTGTTGTTTCATGGTCTGTTCTTACTATTCAGGTAATGAATGAGGATACTGAGTTTCTTTGCTTCTCTTAGAGCAGGGGCAGGAGTCAGTGACCCTCCAGGTTTCACTGGCTACAATATCCATCAGGCGTGACTAGAAAGCCAACACAATAGTGAAGAATCATGGTTACTGACAGGCCATCTCTGAGGGTCCTATTACACTACTCCTTTATGCTGTGCTACTCAATTTGCAATGTATACTGCAGCCAGTCTTATGAGGTTAGCTGTTTCGTGATACTCTCTATCATACCGCATTTACACGTTAACAGCACAATTTCAGTTTTTTGTCTGCTTTATTAGTGTCATTAGTGACTCCTGTACCCTGTTCCTAATTGGTTCATTTTTTTTAAAAAAAGAAGCCTCAATAGTGCTATGGTAATACAATGGTAGAACATGTCAAATGTTATAACAACATAATAGCATGCAAACAAAAAATCAGATATCAGAAGATGGGGTTAAAACAGATTTAATACTAGAATGACTGTCATGCAAGCCAAAGTAACACAAATAGTCATGGACTTCTCTGCCGGAGATTTCCTTTTAGATCCTTGAGGGAGGGATAATTTGGCAATAGCCATACCATCCCCATTAACCAATTACTGTATTTTTTTCAATTCTGGGATGCCATTGATAACAAGATACACACTAATTTCAATTTCACAAACAGGAAGAAAAAGCTTTATGTATGTATATAAAGAGCACGTGTTATTCTAAGGGCTCTTCAAGACAGCCATATAACTCAGAATATCAAGGCAGATAATCCAAAATATCTGCTTTGAACTGGATTATCTCAGTCCACATTGTCATATAATCCAGTTCAATGTGAATTTTATACAGCTGTGTGGAGGGGCTTAAGATGCACCCCGTTTTTAGACATATTTATATAGGGAAAAAGTGCATCTAAGAATGCTATCAATGGCAGAAAATGGTATAGTTTCAGATTTATGGTGGGGAAAACTGGGTAATTAACAGATTATTTCCACAACAACAACAACAACCAAAACGAACACCTTTCTAACACATAAATATCTTTCCAAAACATCTGGTGGTCATCAAGTTGGGAAGACTGCTTTAGCACAACCGGCAGGGGTTTAAGCAGATGCAATGTTCCACATTCCTACATCTGTGCCCAAAACAATTTCACTTTTTGAATTTCCATCTGTCAAATAGATTAGTGTTTAATATTTTAATTCAGTTATTTTAGGGATGTATGCCTCCCTTTAATTAATTCCTAGATTGTTTGGGGGGGCAGGGAATAAAAAACAAAAACAACAAAAACAATTTCAACCAAAAAGACAATAACACTGTAGTTAAGGAAATCACGAGAGTGATCAGTAGACATAAAACAAATATAAAGCAGATAAGTAGAAGGAAACAGATTTTGTAAAAATTTAAAGAAAAATGATAACCTCTTCACGTGATGATGCCAATCAAGGAGCCTCTGATAAGACGACCCTTCCCTTGATAGCCACATATAACACCTCAGATAGTGGAAGTTAGTGGAAAAGAGCAGGAGGTGAAGAAACTCTCTGCAGGCCCACACAGCCTCATAACTGCCCAATTGTAGAGATTCTGTTCCCTCCTCTGGACTTGACAATGAGAAATTCCCTCCCATCTCTTTCTTCTCTGCACAGTGTCCAAGTGTCAGATCTGAACTGCCTGGAATCTGAGTGTGGCTCTGGACAGAGTCACTGTCTGATTGTTTCTCTTCATCTGAACTAAATAAGAGCTTTTCTAGACACATGCATAGGTACCTTTATTTTTTAAGCCCACTGCCCACACCAACTTCAGGGGGAAATGAGTAGCCACCTACCAAATGGCTGGTCTTTCCTGGAGACCACCACCTTTCTGTGCGCCCTTCTCCTGGCTTCTTCTGAGCCTCTCTTTCCCCCTTCCCCTGTGTGCTTTCAGCACTTCTTTCATTGTTTACTACTCTGTTGATACACTCACCCTCCCTACTGTGGGGAGTAACTGGATGCTCCTATTTTTACCAGGAGTTCAGCAGGTGCCTCTTTCAATCACAGCTCCCACTCCTCCGAAGAAGCAGATGGAGCCAGGACAAAGGGGAGGGAGAATGAGGGGCACTGAAGAGGGGGAGGTAGCGGAGAGGGGAGAGTGAAAGAGAGATCACATTCAAGGAGAGTGTTGCAGAAGCTCTGGTTTATAGTGAAGGCCCTGCCAATAAGAAATTATACATTTCCTAGATAGTGAGTGTGATACCTAGTGAGCTGCCCACAACAGACATAATGTCCTATGGATTGCTTTCTTAGGTCAGTTGTCAGTGGAAGAAAACCGAGTAGATTCATCTAAAGCAGTGGTTCTCAACCTGTGGGTCCCCAAATGTTTTGGGCTTCATCTCCCAGAAATCCTAACAGCTGGTAAACTGGCTGGGATTTCTGGGAGTTGTAGGTCAAAACACCTGGAGACCCACAGGTTGAGAACCATTGATCTAAAGACTATGAATGTCCTGAGACCCTTTCACACCATACAATTATGGTGCTATGATTTCACTTCAACTGTCATGGCAATATCTTATGGAATCCTGGAATTGGCAGTTGTGGGATGCTCAGCCAGAGAGCTCATTAAATTACAAACTCCAGGATGGAGCCATGGTAGTTAAATAGGAGTCTCAGCACTATAACTACTGGTATTTACTTAACATTTGCTGGGGTTAGGGTCACAGGACCACCATGAAAATGAAAAACCGCGAATAAAGAAATGGCAATGTCTTTACATGAAAGAATACATCTCTAAGACTCTCTATATCCTCCAGTCGACCAGACAATCATGTTGGAGGACCTAGAGATTCCTAGAAAGAACATTTTAAATCAAATATTTGAATAATCAGTCCTGCAAAAGTCAAAACCACAAATGTGGAGGGATAACTAGTGTGAAAAGGGCCCAAGGGTCTTTGTCTGTATGCTGTTCATGCATGTTCAGCAAAGGGCTCTGAAGTGGCATGTTGTAGGCAGGCACAAACAGCTAGAATAAGATTGTCTGGAGCAGAATCTCATTCTTTATCCACTCAAGGTTTACTGCATCATTTACTGCAAACACACTGCTGCCATGCAACACAGTCTGTGTTTCCTCAGTCCTCCTTCAACAACCTCCCTCTGCAGACGTTGCTAAAACATCCCAGCTAGACAGAGGATAAGGTGGAAAAGATGGGTGTGTGTGTGAGTGTATAATCAGCTTTGTTAATTTAACATTATTATATATGCAATCTTTCTCCATTCTCTTAGTCCTACATTCTAGTAGCATGTCTAAGACTAATGGGTTTATTTCATCATAAACTTTGTGGACTTGAATGCAAGATTAAACTGTAAAGTGAAACATGGACTATCTACAGATGTCACATGCAACTCCTGGAATGATTCCATCAGCGTTGCCTCCAAAAAAATCCTGCAAATCTCTTGGGAAGACAGGTGGACAAATGTCAGTGTGTTGGAAGAAGCTAAGACCACCAGCACTGAAGTGATGGTCCTCCGCCATCAACTTGGCTGGACTGGTCACATTGTCTGAATGCCCGATCACCGACTCCCAAAGCAGTTGCTCTACTCCGAACTCAAGAACGGAAAACGGAATGTTGGAGGACAGGAAAAGAGATTTAAAGATGGGCTCAAAGCCAACCTTAAAGACTGTGGCATAGACAGTGAGAACTGGGAAGCCCTGGCCCTTGAGCACTCTAGCTGGAGGTCAGCTGTGACCAGCAGTGCTGTAGAATTTGAAGAGGCACGAATGGAGGGTGAAAGAGAGAAACGTGCCAAGAAGAAGGCGTGTCAAGCCAACCCCGAAGTAGATTAATGAGCTTGAAAGAACAGCAACTTCATCAAGCCATGTTTGTATTATTGCCCCATTGGGGTCTAGACAATATGTTCAAGTTATTGGGAGTTGGTGGTGATATTTCATTCATTTTTGGAGTACAACTTATATAAATGCTGAGCTCAGTAGTAGTTAAATATGTCTCAAGAATAAAAGAGCCTTCCATTTGAGTGGCTGGGAAACATGGGGTGCCAGGAGCAACTACTGGAAGAAAGGATAACCAGTAGTGAAAACTTAAAGACCTCAGCTTATAAAATTCCCCACATTGGTTCAATGTCCTGCTGAATTTGGTGGGCTTTCATGTCAACCAAGTAATTTTACAACCTTTCTATAAACTAAGAATGTAAATAAAATGTGGTACACCTGTGTCTACAGGACCGGTATCCAACTTTTCCACATTCCACAAAGTACATCCTCCCTAGACATTTTCTAGGTCCTCTGGTGCAACTCTATGGTATTTTTGAGGCAGATGCCCATCATTTCAGTAGGTAGGGTATACTATTATCCATGGTTTCACATCCATGCAAAGTCCAGGAACATATTTTCATGGATATACATCCAAACAAAAAATCACAGGCAAGTATATTGTTTAAAAAAGTATCCTGATGCAAGAACAGAACCTGGTCATCCTAGCATTGCTCTATCCACCAAGATTCTTTGGGGAATGGTCTTCACCTCCATCACAGAGATCCCATCAAGTTAATTAGCAACACAAGTTGACAACACAAATATTGTTCACCTTCCACTTTTTTTTTACATCTTGCCTCTCCTGGCTGAATATGTTGCCTGTAAACATTGCTATGGGAACTAAACTGAGATAGATCTCTGTTGGAAGAATGCCATGCCATGATTAGATTGTTTGCCAAGGGCTCTGCCCCTTGCAAGCCTATTTTAAAATGTCTTCCTGGAGTGAGAGTGAAAACCTGGTGAAAACAATGGGATTAATCTCTTCAGGATGACACCCACTCAATTCCTAGGAGCAGGCATGCCTGTTTTTCATTTCTGAAACAGGTCTGGCCTCCTGTGGTCAAACTGCGAATTGCTTGCTTCTCTAAACTGAGGCTTTGTTAAAACGATGGGGAAGTAGACAACAGGAGGAAACGCATTGTGACTCAAATAGAGGACAGACCACTCTTTATATCTCTGTGTCGCTTGATTTTAGCCAGAAGGCCAAAAAGTATCTATCCCGACTTGTTGTGGGACTGGTATATCTGGCTCTCAGTCCCAATTATATCAGACTCCAATCAGTGGGATTTACCTGTGCATTGACTCACATTTCAGGGACTGATTCAGTAGTTTACTCCTGTTGAAACTGATAACCAGGATTCAGCTTTGAATTTTCTTCCATTTGTGGAAACCATTTGAGATGTCTATATGGTAATCTCTCAAGTTAAGAAAACAGAGGTAGCTGATGTTCTGTCTCCAAGGGCTGGTACAGCAAGAGGAGGCTGGATCTACACTGCCCTATCTCATCCATGCCTCATTTATTTGAATTATTACTATTCTCTTTCCCGAAGTCTTACTCTGTTACATCATTGTGACGTTAAACTAATTCTGGGCTCTCATAGGCTATGCTTGCAGAGCACACACCTGGTAGATTCTTCCAAGCTGGTGCAGTCAGTGAAAACTCTGGTGGCAAACTAGGGCCACGCACAGAAAGTGGAAGTCATCCACTAGTGCAGAATTGGCCACTACAACTATGAATATATTAGTCTGGAGTACATCAGTAGGCATACTCAGAGACCTGTGGTGTCAGTGTGAATAGTCCTTGTAATGATGTAGACAACATGTGTCAAACCCAAGGACAATGTGTAAAATGTGGCCCACCATATCATTTTATGTGCCCTCCCAGTTGCTGGACTACAACTCCTGTATTCCTCATGATTAGACATCCTGACTAGATCTGGTGGGAAATGTGATACAATAACATCTAGAAGACTACAGTTTCGTCTGTTCAGCCAGGATACTGGGGTTTGGATTTAGATAAAAGGCTCGTGGACAAGCCCCTACGCTGGGGGGAGGGGGGTTGAGGGGCTTCAGCCCCCCCTCCCCGAAATTCTCAGGGTGTTCCGCGAGAAGGCTTTACTGGTACATTATTTAAACTTTTATGATTATTCATATCATGATCTGATCACCATGCTCAATATATCCATTTGCATGGGGGTATTGGGATAATGATACAAAAAGTTTGCTAGGGTAGATCCTGAGCCCCCCCCCCCCCCCCAAAAAAAAAATCCTGGCTATGGGCCTGCTTTTCTAATGGTCTTTCCCCAGCCGCAGAGCTTCAATTTCCATTATCCCCAGTGGGTTATCTGAACTGGGTAAAAACTAAAGAGCGCCGACCACTATGTAAAAAATGGCCCTCTGTAATCATGGATTCTCCACTCATGGATTCAACGGCCCTTTGAAGGCAACCATAAGGCTGGTGTGGCCCTCAATGAAAATAAGGTTGACACTCCTGATGTACAGGGCAACCAAGGTATTCCACATCCAGTTAAGTTAAACATTTACCCCACTTGTTAAATAATGCAGAAAATAAAGAATGCAATCCACCTGGCTTGTTGCATGGTTGGGGAAAGGCACTGTCATTTTTCCATGATGTCTCATGTTGTCCCCAAGAAAATGGAGACGTAACTGGGTAATTCAGGGTAAGCCTTCTACAGATCAGTTGACATTTATTGGCTCATAAGAAGCAGAGAAAAATATCAGATGTCGCTTTATTTGTGCTTTACGTAACAAAAATACACAAGGCTGGGCTCACATTACCAAACAGAAAAAAACAGAAGGCCACTAAAAGCCATGCTATCACAATAATATTTTCTCAGCTTCTAAATATAAACATGCGGTAAAGAGCCAGCTCCGCTCAACTTCAGTTCTCTGACTGATCTGTATAAAAAGGCAGATTCTGAGGCTGAAAAGAAAACTGGGCCAATATGTCACTGGGAGATTAATGTACACTATGAAAATAGCTCCAATGACATGGTATGGACAGGTTGAGAAGCAGCCCGGCTAGGATTTGGGCTCCCATTGGCTAGAGCAGGCATGCGCAAACTTTCGTTCTCTAGGTATTTTGGATTTCATCTCCCACAATTCCTAATCACCAGTAGTGCCATGTAGTGGTTTGAACCTTGGGTTCTGGGTATGAAGTTGCTGGGTGACTTTTGGCAAGTCACAGTCTCTCAGCCTCAGAGGAAGACAAAAGCAATTTCCCTTTGGATAAATTCCGCCAAGAACTCTGTGGTAGGGTTGCCTTGGGAATCACCCTAAGTTTGAAACTACTTGCAGGCATACAACAACAACCCCCTACCACAACAGTCTGAGCGATTGTGAACTGGCCCTCTGATTCAAAATTTTGAGGCCCCTGGCTTAAGGCTTACACAGAGATACGGAAACGTTGCATCAATAGAAAGTCAGGAAGTGTTCTGCCATTTCCTTTAGTGCTGTTTCCTGGGGCAGTACATTTCATTACAAAGGGATTATGCAAAGGGTTTTTGGGTGCAGCCGGTCCACATGCCAGAATGAGTTTAATGAATTCAAGGTAAAGGTGATGCAAAGGGCACAGCCCACCCAGGACTGTCAGTTTATATGACTTCATATGATTTCATGCAATCTTATATTATTTATTTAAGAAATTTATATCCCGCCTTTCCCCACTCAAGGGCCCAAGGTGGCTTACAGCCAATAAAACATACAATATTCAAGTTAAAACCAACTTGAAACTGTACATATTAGACATGCTGTAAACTCTAATAAAGTTCAGTAAAATAAATTATACTAACTATACAGTGGCGTATCTGTTACTGAAAGCACAACAAATGGACATGGTGGCCACAACAGTATTTTTACAGTACAATGTAGAGTCAATTAGCATGTATTATGGGCCGGAAAACCATTATCCTCGATGGTACTTTCCCAAAATACTCATGTAGCACAAATTTCTTCATGGATTTATTCAATTATGCCTGAAACACCCAATCTAGGATCTAGTTAAACGGATCATGAAGAACTGGAAGTATCTCTCTAGTCAAGCTGTTTATGCATCCAGCCCTTTAGAAGCATTTCTCCCAAAGAGTTATCCCCCCCCCCTTTCCTGCTAATAGAGATCTTTTCAACCAAGACATGCTAAGGACTGAACTGGAAATCTTTCTGCATATGAAATATGTGTGTGCTTTGCAACAGCTCCATCTCAAAGTGCTTTTAATATAGCATCATTTTTGTGCCAGCCAGCTAGCCAGAATGTATAAAAAAGCCAAACCCAAGAACAGGGAAACTCCTTTCCCACATAAAGCCTAATATGTCAGCAATCCACAAATTCCATCCTCAAGATTCATATATTATGTGATGTATTAAAAAAGCATGGGTTGCCTCTTTCCCAGAGCTTGGAAATGTGTTTTTGGATTGTCAGAATCCACCACCTGGTGGCCAAATTGGCTCAAAGACTCCCATAATCCACCATGAACTCTAGAAAGTTCTGGAAGCTGTTGCCCCAAAGAGTAACTTTTCTTAGCTCTTTTCAGGGTGAGGCATAGAACTTCTGTCTGTAGCCACATTTCGAGCTAATTAGCCACATGGAGCCAGATCACATTTTATTTGACAATTAATTCAGAATGAAGCAAAACAACTTGTCTCAGAAAGGTATCATGGAGACAATCTGTACTCTCTAGTCTGCCCTCTTGTAGATTCAGAAAAAAACACAGATTTCCTTCACAACTCAAGTCCCTTCCACACAGCCTTATATCCCAGAATATCAAAGCAGACAATCCCACAATATCTGCTTTGAGTTGGGTTATCTGAGTCCACACTTGGAAAATGTGGGATTTTCTGGGTTGATATTCTGGGATATAGGCTGTGTGGAAGGGCCCTCAGTTAAACAGTAGGGCATAGCATTTGCATATTTTGAATTTATATGTATGTGTATTTGTGTGTGTATATATATATACATGTATGCATTTTATTGTATTTGTTTTATGGTGGCCCTCGGTATCCACAGGTCTCAGAAAACTAAAATATCCAGCTTCAACTGCTATGCTTCTCTCCAACAGCCATGTCTTTCTTTGTGCTGGCCTTTGATAGCTTTTTTCTAAGACTGGATCTATGCTGCCATATAATGTAGTTTCAGAAAGCAGATTTACCGCTTTAAACTGGATTATATGCATCTACACAGCCATATACTTCAGTTCTTTATAGATGGGGCCTAAGATTCAAACCCTACAAATAATCCAGACCTTAAACACAACCATCCTGCCAGTGCAAAAGCTGGGGATGTTCACTTGGAAATAACCTCTTCAAATATAGTGCACTTCAACATCCATGCATAGGACTGCTTTACACCTTGCTCAAATAAGGGGCTTGAGGCAGATAAGAACTTCAGTGGGAAGTTGTTCTTTCCTGTCGACTAGTGACAGGAGTGTATGGAGGCCTGTGGCCCACCTCCATGGTGTAGGTAGGTGGAATACTTTAAGCCAGTGTTTCCCAACTGGCTTTAAGCCAGTGTTTCTTCTGGGGGCTGAGAAAAGAGGTATATAAATGGAGTAAATAAATAAATATATTTTACACTTCCCTCCCAGAATGCCTTATCATCGACCAAAGCAGCCCAAGCTTCTGGTTGATGTCTACAAGACCTTGGTTACACCTGCACTGTAGAATTAATGCAGTTTGACACCATTTTAAGTGCCAAAGCTCAATGCTACAGAATGTTGGGAGTTTGTGGTTTGCTGAGGCACTATTTGGCATGGAAAGCTGAAGGCCTTGCAAATCCACACATGCCAGAATCCCATAGGCAGTTAAAAGGGGTGTCAAACTTGGGCCCTCCCTCCAGGTGTTTTGGACTTCAACTCCCACAATTCCTAAGAGCCTCAGGCCCCTTTCTTCCTCAGCTTAAGCAGCTGAGGGGGGAAAGGAAAGGGTTTGAGGTTATTAGGAATGGTGGGAGTTGAAGTCCAAAACACCTGGAGGGAGGGCCTATGTTTGCCCATGCCTGTTCTACAGTATAGATGCCCCTCTGGTTTAGAAATCCCTGCTCTAATAGCAGAGAAGCTAGACAGGACAGCAATTCATAAACAAACAGCTCCCTGTCTTTGGTTGAACATTAGGAAGAACTTCCTGGCTGAGCGCCGTTCAACAGTGGAACTCCTTGTCCCGGTGTGTGGTGAAGGCTCCTTCTTTGGAAGCTTTTAAGCAGAGGCTGGATGGCCATCTGTCGGGGGTGCTTTGAATGCAGTTTTCCTGCTTCTTGGCGGATTGGGGTTGGCGGATTGGGCCCATGAGGTCTCTTCCAACTCTATGATTCTATGACTTCTGTTTCGTGAGGAAATGCTGAAGGCTTTCATTTGCTCGACGATACATCCGGGTAAACAATTACGACGCTGCCCTCTCCTCAGCTAAGGGTCCGCTTTGTCCTTTTCATCCTCCTTTGAAAGCGGAAGTCAACAAATGGCCTGCTTTTCTCCTCTCTATGGGAGAAGTCCTCCCAGGCCAATAAAAGCCAGGGCTTCCAACGCCGCGAAATCCTCCGAAGCTCTAGGAAGCAGTATAGCTTTTTCCGGTGCGACTCTATGGCGCAGAGGAAGGGCACGAAGCCAAAGAGGGCAATGGCGGAAGTGTTCGTTCCTCGTGCTTCCGGTTTGGCGGTGGGCTGAAGGTGAGCGGGTGGGAAAAGGCTTCGAAGGAGCAGAGGAGGAATAGGCAGGCTCTGCTTGGGGGAATTGAGCCCCGCAAGGGAATGAGGAAACCACGGAGGGGGCTGGGCCTGTGGGGTCCCGCTTTGAGGCCTGGTCCCAGCTAGAGGAGGCCCATCGAGCCCACGCGTGGATGCCATAGTGCTACTCCAGGGTTGAGGCCTTCGGGAGCATCTGTCCGGGGGGAGGGATTAACGCACCTTGACACCGCTTTAACTGCTATGGGATCATGGGAGTCCTGGTTATAGCACTCTCTGCCCAAGTTAATAGGTACAGTGGGTTGTTGTAGGTTTTTCGGGCTGTATGGCCATGTTCTAGAAGCATTCTCTCCTGACGTTTCACTTGCATCTCAGGCAAGATGCAGGTGAAAAGTCAGGAGAGAATGCTTCTAGAACATGGCCATACAGCCCGAAAAACCTACAACAACCCAGTGATTCCGGCCATGAAAGCCTTCGACAATACATTGAATAGGTACAGTTGGACCTCCGTCTCAAAAGATCCTGTAGCCACAGTTCAACCATCTTTGGCTTATATTTGCTTTAGAAACAAAACAAAAGCAAAGCGTCATTGCATCATTTTATATAAGGGACACCTCTGGCCAACACAGCTTTTGAGGCTTCCCTTGTTAGCCCTGTTTCTGGGTATATTTGACCTGCTGATTCCAAAAATGGCACCACTTTCCCCCATCTACTCTAGTTTTTGAGATACATAACATAGGCCATATACCAGTCTATTTACTCACCTGTAAGAAATAACCATAATCATATCTAACGAATACTTTACTTATATCCCGCCCCTCTCCCCAAGGGAACTTGAGGCAACTCAGAACATACTCAGGGCGGCTCACAGTGGAACTAGAGATGATGTGGTCTATCCATTGCAATTTTCTGAATCAGCATCACAAAATAACCCTAGGAACAGGCCTAAAAACCAAGACACCAGGAATTTTGGTTGTTGTGAGGCTGTATTACCTTTTGACAATTTCTCTTGCAGGTGTCATATAGATCTGCTAGAGAAAAGGAGAAGTGAAATGTACCGATTCAGATTTTCTCTCCTTTTGTAGCCTGGTTTCCAAAGAGTTCTGGGCATTGAAAATCCTGCGCAAACGTTTAATGTTGCATCCACAATGTAGAATTAATGCAGTTTGGCTTTACTTTAGTTGCTGTTGGTCAATGCCAACAGCATTGTAAAATAATGGGAGTTGTAGATTTATAATGTCCTTAGCTTTCTCTGCCGAAAAGTGCTGGTGCCTCATCAAACTACAGGAGCTTCTGGTGACGCAGTGGGTTAAACCCTTGTGCCGGCAGGACTGAAGACCAACAGGTTGGAGGTTTGAATCTGGGGAGTGTGTGGATGAGCTCCCTCTGTCAGCTCCAGCCCCGCATGTAGGGACATGAGAGAAGCCTCCTGCAAGGATGGTAAAAAACATCAAAACATCCAGGCGTTCCCTGGGCAACATCCTTGCAAGCAGCCAATTCTCTCATATCAGAAGTGACTTGCGGTTTCTCAAGTTGCTCCTGACACACACACAAAACCCAGACTACAAATCCCAGGATTCAGCCAGGGCAGTTAAAGTGATGTGAAACTGCATCAATTCTACAGTGTAAATGAACCTAAAATACTGACCAATTTACAACCTTCCCCCTAGTCCTTGTGTGTGTTTATGGAGATAGGGAATACCTGTGTTCTGACATTGTATGTTCTCTGGCAGCATTAGGAACAAATTCCTGGAAGTGCAATGGATCCTCTGAGGGCTCAGCAGTTGGCAGCAGAGCTGGAAGTAGAAATGATGGCTGATATGTACAACAGGTATTGGCTAAGGGCAAGTTATTTTTAATGATACTCCTAGTTGAAGTTCATAAGATGAAAGCTGTGTTACTTTGTGGAGGTATGATGTGTTCATAAGATGAAAGCTGTGTTACTTTGTGGAGGTATGATGTTGGGTGCTGTCGAGTGTCTTTTCCTTTGCTACAGGATCCCTTAACAAGTTTTCATATTGTACCCAGTGTCTCAGATGGAAACAGGGCAGTACTCCAGATATGGGTTTTCCAGAACAAGTAGAACTGGGAAACGGTCTGTGGAACAGTCATTATAGGACAGTGGTTCTCAACCTGGGGGTCCCCAGATGTTTTGGCCTTCAACTCTCAGAAATCTTAACAGCTGGTAAACTGGCTGGGATTTCTGGGGGTTATAGGCCAAAACATCTGGGGACCCACAGGTTGATAGCCACTGTCCTATAATGACTGTTCCACAGACCGTTTTCTAGTTCTACTTTTTCTGGTTAACCCATATCTGAAGTATTTCCCTGTTTCCATCTGAGACATTGGGTACAATATGAAAACTTGTCCTCTGATTTATTTTTTGTCTGCCACACAGTGTTCTCAAAATATATATTAAGTGCTCTGTGGGGGTCCAGCTTTCCCTGTTATTGAATGCACCAGGGGTAGGATTTTTCTATCTTCAAACTACTCTAGCTTTGAAGTCATCCTCCATTCTCTGTTTTAAGGTGTCTACAACTATTGGTTCCTCTTAACAAGTAAATCCTTGACCTTCCCTTCATGCCTCTTTTCCTGGTATAGTAGTTAACCAGGAACCAATGGGAATTGATAGATACCACATAAATATAATTTCTGGTTGCTTGAGAGTTATTATTAAAAATTGCCCTAACTAATACAATTCCCCTGTGCTATACCATATCATAAACTCTATATTGACTTCATAGTAATATTGAAATACATTAATTAAAATCAAATTAAGAGTCATAAAGATAAACTTAATGTAACACAGTTTTACTTTATTATAAAAACAGCTCTTTAAAATATTTCTTTGATTTTTTTGCCGGTTGCTTGAGAGTTGTGGTTGCTTGATTTCTGGTTAACTGAGAGTCTACTGTAATTCTTCCTGGGATGAGAGTAGTCTTTAGCTGCAGAAAGTCTGCCTTTGAAAACCTTCTTTCTGATGTAAGAGATGCCTTCATTCACAGAGAAAGAAAAAAATGTTGGTCTGGTAAAGTGACCAGTACAGGAAGAAAAAAATATTTTCTCATGTCCTTCTGCCGTTAAATCTGACGCACACTTATTCAAAAGGAATTCCACAAAGTTCAGAGGGATTACACTCCAGCAAGGAATGTAGCCACACAGCCAGTTTCTATGTGTGTCTGTTTGAACCTGTCGACTTCAATGTTGATGGAACTGGTTTGAAAGTAGAAAGCCCTATTCAAAAGCACCCTGTCTCTGTCATAATAAACATCTTATTCAATCGTAAACTGGACGGTATGTGTATCACAGAAGTTATTTTAGAAATGTTTATGAAACAACTTAGGAAATTGTATTTGATACTCTGGGCTGAATCCCACCCATTCTGCATAAGTTGCTGGTTATGTCATTGGAACTATGGGATGAAAAGTTCCCTTGTAGTCTGGCCTTTTCCAGATATTCAGGTGGTGCAGAGGTCTGTGGGTAGAACTGAGAGAGACAAAGGACATTACTTGGGGCGGGAGGAGTGGAGGGATTGCCTTCTTTACCGTAGCATTTCATTCTTTTTATAAGGAAACGGATCATATATTCACCCCATCATATGTGATACAATTCTGTCCGTTTCTATTCCTCTTGTGTTCTGAGCTGTCACTTGGGCAAGTGTAGTCCCTGCTTATACTACTTGCTTGCTTTTTTAATTAAAAAGGGGGACTCCTCAGAATTGCGGTAGTTCGAAAATCTAGGTCTAAAAAAGGGGGAAAGATAGCTACGGCAAACTGGTAATATATCGAAATTGCACAATTCCTGAGAAAAAATAAATTATTTTGAAAAATTACCATAAAGGTTTCATGCAAGAGGATTGATGGAGAAAACTAATCCTTAAGAGGAGAAAAGGAGCATCAAGGCACATTTTGAGACTGCCTACAGCAACATCCACACTTTGACGTCACTACAACGATATAATACAGGGAATCTGACAATTCCCATCCCATGTTAAAATAGGCGCATTTGGCCATTGCTGCACCAATTGGGAGCTCTAAAGATGATCCCTCCACAATTCCAAAACCTCAGTTTCTTTACATTTTAAAAACAGTTTAAAGACGGAGTCCCATGGGGAATTGCTAGAAGTTCTCTTGTGACATATAAAAGACTGTGGTACTCTGTCTTTATACTGTTTGTAAAGTGTAGGAACGGGGGAGGGAGATCCTGTGTCTGATGAGGTCCAAAGTCCTGTTGCTAGCACACATGTGGTTGCCAATGTTGAATTAACCTTTTTCTTAAAACTTTGCCATTGAGAGCAAGTGTTAGTGTTGATAGTCAGCACAGACCTCTGGGAAACCTTTGCACAGTGGTTACATATTAAGGTAGAATTTGGTGTAGAACATGTGGCCCTCCAGATATTGGACTGAAACTTGTCATCCCTGGCCATGACCTGACTGAGGCTGATAAAAAATTGAGTCTTAAGAACACTTGGAGGACTGTAAGTGCCATCACTCACTCCTTTGGTATACAAAGATTTAGAATTCATTGGAAAAAGACACTTACATTAAAAGAAAGTTGGCATAGCTGAAATTGATACTATTTGCATTTTAGTTACCTGATTTCATCCCCAAGTTATGTTGTTAAGAGAGCTTAATAGCACAGGCCTAGGCATGTCATCTTGTTGTTTTTTTGTCAAGTTGGCTTTGATTTATGGCAAGCAATCCTGTGAACGAATCATCAGATGCTCTGATCCTTTTTTTTTTTTGCAAATCCAGAGCTGTGGTTTCCTTGATTGAATCAATCCACTTGTAGTGCAATCTCTCAAAGTATGTTTACTGGAATTATTCCTTTTTTTCCTCTGAAATAAATATACATAGGATTACAGGCTTCACGGTGTTTGCAATTTGGGTGTTCTGTATTTTAAGAATAAATTGTCATATATAATGCAGTAGTTTAAAAACTAAACCTTCTTTGACTATCTTGTTAATCTATCAGGCCTAAAAGCCATCTATCCAAGATGTGACAGGCAGTGATCGTCCAACAAGAAAGGACATTACAAAAAGACATGATTAGTCTCAGGCTGTTTATAAAAATAGGTGTAAAAAGAGTATCTTGATTGGTGGTGATTTTTTATCATGTCGGAAGCGACTTGAGAAACGGCAAATCGCTTCTGGTGTGAGAGAATTGGCCGTCTGCAGAGATGTTGCCCAGGGGATGCTCAGATGTGTTATCATCCTCTGGGTAATTTCTCTCATGTCCCCGCATGGGAAGTTGGAGCTGACAGATGGCGAGCTCACCCCATCTCGTGGATTCGAACCGCCGACCTTCAGGTCAGCAGTTTAACCCATTGCACCACTGCGGCTCCATTGGTGGTGATGATCCATTTGAAGGAATAGGAGCCCATGATGCCCGGATCTACAACTAAAGGAAAATCAGCAGTTGATGAATTGGCAACACTGATCTGGGCTGCTAGGAGTTGCTACTCAGCAATATCAAGAGGGTTTTCTATATCTGGTTTAGGATTAACACATTGGAGATTTTCAATATCTTGGATGGGCTTTTAGTAGGATGGGCTTTGATCTCCAGATATGATGGGCTGCAATTCCCATTATCTGTGATGTTGGCTATGCTGGCTGGGTCTGATAGAAATTGGAACCCAACATCTGGAAAAATCATGTTACCCACCACTGTTTGTGTACAGGCAGGGGGAGGGAATTTGAGGTATGGAGGCTTTAGTAAGTACTATAAGGTATTCTGTTCCAAATGAACATAAAGCTAGAATAAGAACTTCTACTGTTTTCTCATATACATTTTCCCCCTTTTCTTCCTCTGTTAAGAATGACAAATGCCTGCCACCGAAAATGTGTCCCTCCCCATTACAAAGAGGCTGAGCTTTCCAAGGGGGAATCTGTATGCTTGGATCGTTGTGTCTCCAAGTACTTGGACATCCATGAGCGAATGGGCAAGAAACTGACAGAGCTCTCGATGCAGGATGAGGAGCTGATGAAGAGGATGCAGCAAGGGGCTGGGCCAGCCTAAAGCACCACCTTTTGATAATTATGGACAGTCTCTCTCTCTCCCCCCCCCCCCCCCCCCCCCCCCCCCCCCGCTTCCAGTACACACTCAGTGCCTGCCTGCCCTTGGTGTGGATCCTTCCCTTTTGCCAATAAAACATAGATGTTATATCACCTCTGTTGTCTGCTAAATACCTTCTGTGCATTGTTTGCCTGGGGGTGGTCAGAGTTTTTGTTTGTTTTGCCAAATGCCCTCTAGGATGTTTGGGGATGTTTTTATCATGTTTTTGCCTTTGCCCCTAATTGGCCAGTCTAGGCTCAATTTAGGCTGCCTTTTGGATAAGCAGGCAGTGAATTACAACTGACTTCCCCCTTTAAAAGTAGCTCCCCTGGACCTAAAATGGCCAAGGAGGATACAGTTTTAGCTTTGGGACCTCTTGCATGTCATTTGAGCTTTACCTCTTTCAAATGTGGAGTATCAATTTTGATGGAGATAAATATGATAACAATTATGCTAATGGGTTGTTCTAGGTTTTTTTGAGCTATATGGCCATGTTCAGAATCACTGGGTTGCTGTGAGTTTTCCGGGCTGTGTGGCCATGTTCTGGAAGCATTCTCTCCTGACGTTTCGCCTGCATCTATGGCAAGCATCATCAGAGGTAGTGATACTAATACTAATAAAAGAGTTTTAGGGTTGGTAGGAATCCCCAGGGTTATCCACCCCAACCCCGTCCTACCATGCAGGAGCACAATCAAAACACTCCCAACAGATGGCCATCTGCTTTAAAACCTTCAGAGGAGAAGACTCCACTGCATTCTGAGGCAGCATAGTCCATGGTTGAACAGCTTTTATCATCAGGGAGTTTCTTCTCATGTTTAGGTAAAATCTGTTTTCCTTCCATTTGAATCCATTGCCTCGTGTTCTTTTCTCTATAGAGATGCAGAAAACACTCTTGCTCCCTCCTCCGTGTGGCATCTTTTCAGGTATTTAAATATGGTTATCATATTCTTTCTGTACTATCTCTTCTCTGAGCTAAACATACCCAACTCCTCCAAATAAGTAGATGAAAACAGTCTGTCTTTGGATAATAATAATAATAATAATAATAATAATAATAATAATCTTTATATCCCAAAAGGTGGCTTTGGTGATTGATAGGAAATGAAGTGCCTTGTTGGCTTTTCTTGCCTTGGGCACTAACGGGACAGCATTAGATGCAAAGTTTATAATATTTCATGTGTTGGCTACAAAAAAAATCTATTTGGAATCATAGGGTGCCTCTACACTGTGTATTTTAAAACCATTTTAACTGCCACAGCTCAATGCTATGTATTTGTGGGAGGCACCAGCACTCTTTGGCAGAAAAGCCTTGATTCCAAAGCTTTGAGACATGTCCAAGTGGTATCAAACTGCATTAATTCTACAGTACAGTGACATCCATAGAGAATGAAATGCTCCAGAGACTATATATCTTATCTTCTGCCTCAATGCAGAACCATCTTCTCACTACAAGTGAGCAAGTAGGTACATCACTGTTGGTGCCACAAATACCTCTTGATAAGCAAGTGATCCAAGATATAAAATGCCAGTTTCCAGTAAATCTAATTAGGAAATCTTTTTCTAGCCCAAACTCTGAATAAGAGATGATTTCCATAACAACCATCTTTCTGAAAGGAAAATGATACCTACTTTTCCCAAGGACTGAGCCTATTAATGTACTGTAATGAGAAAAATATATATCCTGACTGCAGACATGGAGCTACCTGAAACTGCAGCAGAAAACCACTAGAGGGAACTAAAGCCTGCATTTTTGGAAGCACCAAGTCTGTATGATCACAAGGTTTCAAAAATGAATGGAGAGATGAAGCTGATGAAGGAAGAGGAAACAACAGCTATATATCTGCCAACAGCCAACTGCATGCAACTTTTAAAAGGGATGCTTGGAGATGAAAGCGTTTCCAGAATCCTGACACACTGCAATATTTAGCATATGAGTATCAACAAAATAAATCTACATAAATTAAATTCAGTTACTGGTTGTTTTGCAACTGCATCACAAGAAAACAACTGAGTGGGTTTCTCACAAAATGTGGGAGGAATGTTTATATAGGCTACATGGAATACAGGAAACTCAGTATTGGGCACTCTAGTTATTCATTCCCTTAGACCAGTGTTTCTCAACCATCTTAATGCCATTACCCCTTAATACAGTTCCTCATGTTATGGTGACCCCCAATCATAACAATATTTTTGTTGCTAGTTCATAACTGTTATTTTGCTACAGTTCTGAATCATAATGTAAATATCTGATATACAGGATGTATTTTCATTCACAATAACCAATACACCCAAATTTGAATACTGGTGGAGTTGGGAGGGGGGATTGATTTCGTCATTTGGGAGTTGTAGTTGCTGGGATTTATAGTTCACATACAATTAAAGAGCATTCTGAACTCCACCAACGATGGAATTGAACCAAACTTGGCACACAGAACTCCCATGACCAACGGAAAATACTGGAAGGGCTTGGTGGGCATTGACCTTGAATTTTGGAGTTGTTCACCTACATTCAGAGAGCATTGTGGACTCAAACAATGATAGATCTGGATCAAACTTGGCACAAATACTCAATATGCCCAAATGTGAACACTGGTGGAGTTTGGGGAAAATAGACATTGACATTTGGGAGTTGTAGCTGCTGGGATTTATAGTTCACCTACAATCAAAGAACATTCTGAACCCCAACAACGATAGACTTGGGCCAGACTTCCCTCACGGGCCAATCACAGTGGCGGAAGTCTTTTGCTAAGAGGATTTTCTGTCTGTTTCCAAAAAGAAAGATAAGGACATCTTCAGCCTTCTCTGATGGTCTTTGGTGACCACTCTGAAACCCCCTCGTGACCCCCCAGTGGTCCTGACTCCCAGGTTGAGAAAATCTTCCTTAGATTAATGTATTTAAGGTCTGCCTTCTCAAGGGCAATGGAGGATGCATCTACACTAGAATCAATGTGGTTCAACACCACTTCAATTGCCATGGATCAATGCTATAGAATCATGGAACTTGTAGATTTACAAGGTTTTTAGCTTCTGCCAAAGACTGCTGGTGCCTCACCAAACTACAACTCCCAGGAGCCCATAGCATTGGGCCATGGGATAAAACTGCATTAATTCTACACTTTAGATGCACCCCGAGAGAGACAAGCAATGTGAGGAACAACTGAGCTGTGTGCCAAAAGAATCTCTTCTAGAGCTGCTGATACCAAATTATCATTAATGGGAATGAATGATTCTATTGAGCAATCCTGAGTGCTACGGCTAGTACATTTATAAATATGCTGATTTAACCTTTTTCATTTTATCTGCTAAAATATAGTTACTGTTTTGATGTGCCTGTTAAACTAGGTGTTACCACATTCTTGCGATTTTATCTCAACACTCTCAAGGCCTTTCTCTATGCAGTTTGAGCTGGAGATCAAATATGATATCTCATTGTTCTGGAAGAGAAATGTGGGACAGTTCTGTTTTTCATTAAATTCCTTTTGCTGTTGCTCTTCCTTGGAGAAAATGTGTATTTAAAACCCTTGCAATATGGAGCTGTGAGCAGCAGAGGGTGCAGAGAAGCAGCATTTTTCTTTCTTAAGACACAATCCATGAACATCACCAGCTTTGAGGCACTATTATTATCATTATTATTTTTATGAGTATGGTCCATAATTGGGCCCCTTTGATTTCTCTAGTCTCATTTGGTATTTTCTAATTAAATAGCAGCTGTGTTTAGCCAAAGGGTGACTTATTCAATTAAAGCTGCTTAAAGCAATTAGAAGTTATTTAAAACCACATGCTGGAAGTTCTTTGGCAACCAGTCCTTGTGGTTTTATTCCTGCTCAGGGCAGGATGTTGCACCGCAGTTGTTTCTGCAGAGCTCCGAAGGCACCCTGTTGTGGCTGGAAAGGGCAACGGCGGCGGCAGTTTCAGGCACCGGGACAATAGCAATTAAACCGACTTGTAAAATCCAAGAACTACGCTCTCTGGCTTGGAAGACCTGCCAGCCTCTGCAGGGTCGGGTGCACTTATATGTCAAGGCTTTACGCAAAGTTCAAAGTGTATGCCTTTTGGGCACAATGTCTGTGTGTGGATCTGAATATGGAGGAGTTCCTTGCATTTCTGAGCATGTCCTCCAAACCACCACTGTTTCAGATACATGCCCTGGATTGAACAATATGTACTTTCTGTCTTCCTAGAATGCCAAGATAATGGCAAAAAGACTGTCATGTACTTGAGAGTCTATTTAAAGTGTTACTTTGTGGACTCCACCTCCCAGAATTCCCAGTTCCAAGCTCCCTCCTTTTGCTCAAAAATGCAAACAAGATAAATGTATTCCCCTGACATTATGTCCAGTTGTGTCCAACTCTGGGGGATGGTGCTCATCTCCGTTTGTAACCCAAAGAGCTGGTGTTGTCCGTAAATACTTCTAAGGTCACATGGGTAGCATGACTGCATGGAGTGCCGTTAGCTTCCTGCTGGAACAGTACCTATTGATCTACTCACATTTGCATGTTTTCAAACTGCTAGGTTGGCAGAAGCTGGGGCTAACAGTGGGAGCTCATGCCACTCCCCAGATTCGAACCTGCAACCTTTCAGCCAGCAAGTTCAGCAGCTGAGCGGTTTAACCCACTGTGCCACCGTGGGCTTCATAAAAACAAGGGAAGATACCAGTATATATTTAGAATAGAGAAGTAGCAAGATGCTGTGGTTTGGGGAATCATGACTTAACACTGACAGACAACTCTGTTGCCTGACTTTCCAATCACATCCAACGGGAACAGTTAAAAAGCTACAGACTGGTGGTTTGTTTTCTTGTGATGTCTGAACATGGCAGTAGCTGGTGTTCTGGCTTGTTTCTTCCTTGACAAGTCCTGGATTCTTTCTGTGCTTTTAGGGAGGGAAATAAACAGAGATGACTACTGCTGTCTTTTAGACAGAGCAAACAGGAACATCAGAGAGCAGGAGCCAGCATATTGGGATTGTGGTTTGTTGTGATGTGCAAAACTAGCTTTTCAATCTGACTACATGTTAAGCCCAGAAGTCTGAATTCAATACCAGAACCAAGCTCACGGCATGAAACTGAATGCTGTCTATGCAGCAATGGAATGACTTACTTACTTAGGCGATC